GAGTAAGGTCAGCTGTGAAGGTCTAAAGCATTAAACCACTGAGTAGGGTCAGCCGTGAAGGTCTAAAGCATTAAACCACTGAGTAAGGTCAGCCGTGAAGGTCTAAAGCATTAAACCACCAAGTTAGGTCAGCTGTGAAGGTCTAAAGCATTAAACAACTGAGTAAGGTCAGCTGTGAAGGTCTAAAGCATTAAACAACTGAGTAGGGTCAGCTGTGAAGGTCTAAAGCATTAAACCACCGAGTAAGGTCAGCTGTGAAGGTCTAAAGCATTCAACCACTGAGTAGGGTCAGTCGTGAAGGTCTAAAGCATTAAACCACCAAGTAAGGTCAGCTGTGAAGGTCTAAAGCATTAAACCACCGAGTAAGGTCAGCTGTGATGGTCTAAAGCCTTAAACCACCACGTAAGGTCAGCTGTGAAGGTCTAAAGCATTAAACCACTGAGTAAGGTCAGCCGTGAAGGTCTAAAGCCTTAAACCACCGAGTAAGGTCAGCTGTGAAGGTCTTAAGCATTAAACCACTGAGTAGGGTCAGCTGTGAAGGTCTAAAGCATTAAACCACCAAGTAAGGTCAGCTGTGGTCTAAAGCATTAAACCACCGAGTAAGGTCAGCCGTGAAGGTCTAAAGCCTTAAACTACTGAGTAGGGTCAGCTGTGAAGGTCTGGAGCATTAAACCACTGAGTAGGGTCAGCCGTGAAGGTCTAAAGCATTAAACCACTGGGTAAGGTCAGCCGTGAAGGTCTTAAGCATTAAACCACTGAGTAAGGTCAGCTGTGAAGGTCTAAAGCATTAAGCCACTGAGTAAGGTCAGCCGTGAAGGTCTTAAGCATTGAACCACTGAGTAGGGTCAGCTGTGAAGGTCTGGAGCATTAAACAACTGATTAAGGTTAGCCGTGAAGGTCTGGAGCATTCAACCACTGAGTAGCGTTAGCCGTGTCTATTGTAAGGGGACGTCTACAATGTCAGTAAACCATTGTACACCACCAACCCAATCCAGGTCGACAGTGCTGTCTAAAGTATTTAGCTATGCTACCCTACACCACAGAACCAGGTCTATTGTACGGTCTACAATGTCAGTAAACCATTGTACACCACCAACCCAATCCAGGTCGACTGTGAGGTCTAAAGTGTTTGACAGTGTTTAAACCTTGATGTGTCGGTATATATGTAGGTGTAGGTGTGACCCCTGTGGCTGAGAGAGCATCAATCTAGTTTCAGACTATTGAGTAGTATTGGTCAGATTGGTCGAGTGGTTAACACTGCAGCCTTCCACGCAGGCGGCCGGGGTTCGATCCCCGAAGTCGTCGTACACATGGAATATTCAGAGAAAGTGTTTTTCTCCTGCCCACACAACTCCAATAACCCAGGTGGAGTAAAAAATAGTCTGGGGTGGATGTTGCTGTATCTGTGCTGTTGTATTCAAGTAAGGTGGCACTATAAATGATACCATTGGAAGCATAGTTCCACTACAAACAGAACACAATACATCTCTAGCACACACGCAGGCATACACACATGGGGAGATATTAGCCAGGTGGCATAGGACTAGTAGTTAGCGCCTGATAAGGCATCTCCTGCGAATTCCTCAAATTGTATTGATTTCTTTATATGCTAATTGTATTGGTTGTAAAATTGTATATCTATGTACTGTAAAGCGCTTTAGAGTGGCTTAGGTTAGCTAGATAGGGCGGTATATCAAATGCTGTATATTATTATTATTAGCAGTAGTATTTTGAAAAGAGTTGTATAGATATTAATTATCTCAGGGCAGTCCTGGGTATTAAGAGTATAATACTGATTGTCTATATCAAATTAAAATTTTATGTTCGTATGTGAAATAAACATAAAATAAAATGCAGTTGCAGATATTCTTTTGAAAGTCATCAATATTCTTACAAAAAAAATAAAACCATGCCAAGTAATCTGATCATTATGTTAAGCAATCAATGACCACAGTATTTTTTGTATGATACATTCTGAAAATGAGTCGTGAGTCCTGATTGGTTCCTTTACAGAGACTACTGGCCAATGATGAGGAGAAGAACAAAGCAGTGATGCAGGAGGTCCGATTCCTTGTATCCTTTATATTGGTTACATCTAGAACTCTCTTTGTCAGGAAATGTCATTTTCAGTATCATATTTTTCTGTGAACTTTACTCCCATTTATGTATTAGCATTACAGAAGTCTTGTATCTGTCAAGGAATTGCTCAAACATGTTTCATCTCCTGTTGATGTCTACATGTATAATGTAAGAATGTAACATATCTTGTATAGCGACACACAGATTATGCTGCCTTCATGTTTAAGTTAATATTTCATAGAAATTTTTAGTTTTTCATTTCATTTGTGCATTTCTTTGTTATCCTTAACGACATCACAGAAAAAATTATCCGGACACCCTAACATCATCCAGTTTATTGCTGCAGCTTCTATTGACAAAGGAAGCTCTGGTCATGGACAGGCTGAATACCTTCTCCTGACGGAACTCTGTAGTGGTAAGATTACAGGTTATAGGGGTCAAAGGTTGAAGGTGAAAAATGATACTTAGGGGTAACATTATCATATATGATTAAAGGAATATTAAAATGTTGAAAATTTTAAAAATGGATGGATAGATCTCTTAGGTTTGCTTTAGTGAGTTCAAATCCTCACTTGTATGTTGTGATTTTTGATGGCTTAATCTTGAGAATCAGTGTTTATGAAATAAGTTTTTCTTGGCACATACCAGTATTTGGTTTTAATAAAAAAAAAGTTATGCAAAAAAGACACTACTACTACATCTATTAGTTACACCATACTTACAAACCATTCAACAGATCTGGATAGTGACGAAATTATATTTTTAGTCACCCCTGGGGGAACCCCAGTGGGGACTTAGTTTCGGTTTCAGTCCCAGATTTTAACCTCTGTTGTCTAGGGCTGTTAAGTGTGTGCTTCTGTCAGAATATACCAGGCACTAATTACAAGCTCTTGGATAACTCGGATAAAGATTTCCTTTTTGAACAGGAATAGCATAAAACCTAAAGGCGTTCCAAATTTCACACGGGAATTACATATAACCTAAAGATGTTCCGAGTATGAATGAGGCACCTCTAAGGTTCCCGAAGGGGTAAACTGTCGTATTATAAATTGCTATTGATTGATTTAGATATTTTATGTCTGACCAACGACTACTGTTAATACTTGCGTATAGTGCACACCTTTTTTAAGGAAAAATGAAGTGTCAAGAAAGGGGTGTACACGATACTCAAGAACAATCCAAAACCAGTCCTTGGTCGCAACTATTTCTCGTAAATTTTTCTTGGTTTTTCGGAAAATGTTTTGAAATATGCTCGCAGCAATAGACTGCTAAATTTCGTTGAATAACCGCTGATTGCATTTCCAATTAAACAATTACGAAAAGTTTCAAGTTTAAGTCATATTAACTTTATACTGTACGATAGAATCGGATAAATAAACTCAAGTAAAGTAGGCCCAACTTTTCACCTGGTCAATGATTTATTGGAAAATGACCATACAGAATGATGGGGTGACTTTCTGACATATTTCTAGTTTAATCTTTATCTAGATGCACATCAACTTGTAAGTATTTTTTACTGTGAAAGCCAAACAAATTGATTTAATCACAAGTCGATTGTTCAATTGGTTCCTTTTTCGTGAAACGTAGTAAAGTTATGGTTTGACTGGTATTAGAAGTTAGTTGATGTTCATAGGGGGCCAGCTGGTGGACGTTCTGAATCAGCGGTCGACCCCCCTCGGGTGTGACGAAGTGTTGCAGGCCTTCTATCAGACATGTCGTGCCACCCAGCACATGCACCGTCAGTCCCCACCCATCATACACCGGGACCTCAAGGTAAGTACAGGCTGTACTCCTGCTATAAATATCTGTCATTAAAAGCCAACATGTGACCAGAAATTTCTTTTGATAAAATACTTTGTTGAATCTGTTTATTGGAATAGAATAATAACTTACCAGTGTCATAATGATGTACAACAGTGATTTTAAGCATATCAATTTTGTTAAAAGAAACAAGTATTTCTTGAAATGTTGAATTCATGATTCCTGCAATCTGGGCATTCATTAAGTCATTGGTACTTTATAAACCAGTTCATGGCCACTTTACCATACATTCATAGATTCATCTTGAAACACAAAAAGTATTAAAAAAAAACTATCACAAAAACTACTCAGTATACAATATCTAGCTATCATGAGACTGAAGATGATCATATGTTACCTGTTATGTCCTTGTGAAGAGAGAATGACACATTCTATTTTCCTGTGACTTGAACAGGTTGAAAACCTACTGTTAAGCAGTCAATGCAGTGTAAAGTTGTGTGACTTTGGAAGTGCTACCACGGTAACACATAACCCTGACAACTCCTGGTCTGCCATAAAGCGAAGTCTGGTGGAGGATGAGGTAAGTACTATGTGAACTCTGACATGAAGGATAAAACAGTAGTTAATATATGATGAGGTGTCCTGTTTGTCATTGAGAAAAAATAGTATGTTTTTCTGGTATGACTGTATTCTTTTTAACAAATTACATTAGGGATATTCAGATGAGCTTGGTTGCACTTAATAATCACCTTTCAATGTTTCATAAAGGAGTACATGTACTATGAAAAAGCTGAGTTGTGATGATTCCATTGCAGTTGAATTGTATGTAATGTAGTTTAAACATCTTGAGTAAAGCAGTAAAAGGGCTAGAATCTTAAAAAAATGGGTCCCAAGCAGATTCATTTTCAAATTGATTTATTAAAGATAAACGGGTATATTTTTTTGGCACGGATATGGCTTTAAGGTGATAAATGAAAAGATTTCCAAAGTTTAAGTTTGACCTTCGCAGTGAATTCCACTCAAATAAAGTTTAATATGACCAAAGGTTTTTAAGATTTTCACTATTCTGATGCACCAAGCCCCCCAGATGTAGACTTTGTCATTTCTTACCTATTTATGTTATAATTTTAGATAACTAAGAACACCACTCCCATGTACCAAGCCCCTGAGATGTAGACTTTGTCATTTCGTACCTATTTATGTTATAATTTTAGATAGCTAAGAACACCACTCCCATGCACCAAGCCCCTGAGATGTAGACTTTGTCATTTCTTACCTATTTATGTTGTAATTTTAGATAGCTAAGAACACCACTCCCATGCACCAAGCCCCTGAGATGTAGACTTTGTCATTTCGTACCTATTTATGTTGTAATTTTAGATAGCTAAGAACACCACTCCCATGCACCAAGCCCCTGAGATGTAGACTTTGTCATTTCTTACCTATTTATGTTATAATTTTAGATAGCTAAGAACACCACTCCCATGCACCAAGCCCCTGAGATGTAGACTTTGTCATTTCGTACCTATTTATGTTGTAATTTTAGATAGCTAAGAACACCACTCCCATGCACCAAGCCCCTGAGATGTAGTCTTTGTCATTTCTTACCTATTTATGTTGTAATTTTAGATAGCTAAGAACACCACTCCCATGTACCGAGCCCCTGAGATGTAGACTTTGTCATTTCGTACCTATTTATGTTATAATTTTAGATAACTAAGAACACCACTCCCATGTACCGAGCCCCTGAGATGTAGACTTTGTCATTTCGTACCTATTTATGTTATAATTTTAGATAACTAAGAACACCACTCCCATGTACCGAGCCCCTGAGATGTAGACTTTGTCATTTCGTACCTATTTATGTTATAATTTTAGATAACTAAGAACACCACTCCCATGTACCGAGCCCCTGAGATGTAGACTTTGTCATTTCGTACCTATTTATGTTATAATTTTAGATAACTAAGAACACCACTCCCATGTACCGAGCCCCTGAGATGTAGACTTTGTCATTTCGTACCTATTTATGTTATAATTTTAGATAACTAAGAACACCACTCCCATGTACCGAGCCCCTGAGATGTAGACTTTGTCATTTCGTACCTATTTATGTTATAATTTTAGATAACTAAGAACACCACTCCCATGTACCGAGCCCCTGAGATGTAGACTTTGTCATTTCGTACCTATTTATGTTATAATTTTAGATAACTAAGAACACCACTCCCATGTACCGAGCCCCTGAGATGTAGACTTTGTCATTTCGTACCTATTTATGTTATAATTTTAGATAACTAAGAACACCACTCCCATGTACCGAGCCCCTGAGATGTAGACTTTGTCATTTCGTACCTATTTATGTTATAATTTTAGATAACTAAGAACACCACTCCCATGTACCGAGCCCCTGAGATGTAGACTTTGTCATTTCGTACCTATTTATGTTATAATTTTAGATAACTAAGAACACCACTCCCATGTACCGAGCCCCTGAGATGTAGACTTTGTCATTTCGTACCTATTTATGTTATAATTTTAGATAACTAAGAACACCACTCCCATGTACCGAGCCCCTGAGATGTAGACTTTGTCATTTCGTACCTATTTATGTTATAATTTTAGATAACTAAGAACACCACTCCCATGTACCGAGCCCCTGAGATGTAGACTTTGTCATTTCGTACCTATTTATGTTATAATTTTAGATAACTAAGAACACCACTCCCTTGTACCGAGCCCCCGAGATGTAGACTTTGTCATTTCGTACCTATTTATGTTATAATTTAAGATAACTAAGAACACCACTCCCTTGTACCGAGCCCCCGAGATGTAGACTTTGTCATTTCGTACCTATTTATGTTATAATTTAAGATAACTAAGAACACCACTCCCATGTACCGAGCCCCCGAGATGCTGGACTTGTACCAGAACTTCCGTATCGGAGAGCCTGGGGACATCTGGGCACTAGGATGTGTGCTGTATATATTGTGTTACAATGTTCATCCATTTGAGGACTCAGCCAAGCTCAGGATCATCAATGCAAACTACACAATTCCTGAGTCTGACACCACCTACACTGTCTTCCACGACCTCCTCAGTAAGTATGGTATACACATAAGTAGAGTGCCATAACCCTATGAACAAGTATTGATACAGGGGTTGGACAATAAGCACAACTTTCTCATTTATACAAAGGCCAAGATATGAATGTCAAGAGAATACCATGATACCATTGATTGCTGATCAGTTATTAGATCAGGTGCACCACACGAATCACCATATTTCAGTGGGCATGTCCTCTTATACGGCTGTATTATATTCATAACAGGTTCTCCATTTCAAATGGAACACTCTAAAGTTGATGATGAAATATAGCCTTTGTAACCTGCCCTTACTTTAATTCAAAAATACCACAACTGTCAGTAAGCACTGCTCTGAATGACGAGAATAGCAGAAATAATTGGCCAGGGTGTATCAGTACCAATGTGTTTGTCCCAAAGATGGACAAAATGTACATATTTAATTGATGAGTCAAAATATATCGGTTACATATTAATATTGTTGCAAATTTCAGAAAAATAAAAGGTAAACAAAGCTTACAGGCTGAAATAATGTATAATTTATATTTAGATGATAAAATGATCTATTTTTAGATAATAAAATGATCAGAAGGATTTAGAATTTATTCTTAAAAACAATACTCACTTTTATAACTCACTTGTATGATTTTATGGATTTTCAGCATTGCTTGGTCAACTTTCTTTATTAAAAGAACAGAATTGATAAGGCAGACATTTATTGGGTAAAGAACAGAATTGATACGGCAGACATTTATTGGGTAAAGAACAGAATTGATAAGGCAGACATTTATTGGGTAAAGAACAGAATTGATAAGGCAGACATTTATTGGGTAAAGAACAGAATTGATAAGGCAGACATTTATTGGGTAAAGAACAGAATTGATAAGGCAGACATTTATTGGGTAAAGAACAGAATTGATAAGGCAGACATTTATTGGGTAAAGAACAGAATTGATAAGGCAGACATTTATTGGGTAAAGAACAGAATTGATAAGGCAGACATTTATTGGGTAAAGAACAGAATTGATAAGGCAGACATTTATTGGGTAAAGAACAAGTTGTTCATTGTTGTGTTCAGGGTCTTTGCTGAAGGTCGACCCAGACCACCGGCCGGATATCAATGCAGTGGTGGACCAATTACAGCAGATTGCTGCAGCAAGAAATGTCAACCTCAAGGAAAAGCTCAAGCTTGCCAGCGATATGGATCTTAATGTCATGGGTAGGTTTGAGGGTTTCTGTTATCAAAATAAAATCTTGTTTGAAGAAAATATACACAAGAATAAATATGCCCTGCCAAACTGGAAATGGTCTAATCATTTTAATCAATGGATCTATAACTTGATTTTGATAGGGTTACCTATGACAGTATACTGCTTTTGATGTAAGGACCCCCCTTTTAAATTTGGGTGCTCCCTCTTTATTTTTTGCTGTAAAATGTCTCAGACAAATGTTCAGCTTAAAGAAGAACTGTGAACAAAAAACCATGAATGAAGCGTCAGTAATGTTATTATGTATTTATCTAAATGAAAGAAAATAATGATATAGGAAGGTAGACAACATAGCTGTTTGATATTGTACTCACTACAAAGCATTCTTCTTTAGCATCAATTTCAAAATTAAGAAAATTTAAAGATGAGGTGGGTTTTATACTTGTCAGAAGATAACGAAGTACATATGCAGCGTGAAAGCAGTGTACCTCAGCCACCCAGCGGTGGTTCAGAATCCAGCAGCTCTGGTCAACAATCTACTGCCAATATGCTGTTCAGCTCCATTCGAGGTGGAGCAGGCAATCTGATGAAGAACATTAAAGATGCTTCCTCTAAAGTCATGGAAACAGTATCAGCGTAAGTAGATTGGGAGCCAGAGTTCCAATGCTTTGTTTTGTATCTCCAATGGAAAAGAGTTCCAATTTGTTCAGTATTTATCAGAATTTGAGTTGTGTATTCAATTGCAATAGAAATAATTATGTATTATTTTAACTCAGATAAAGTCCAAAATGGATTTGCTAGTATTAGACCAGCTAAATTCCATGCACCTTAAGCTTGCCTTTGCTCAAATGAAATTTCTTACATTTAGATATCTACCATTTTATACTTACTGTGTCTGAAAGCAGTCACTGTTGGTACGTGTTTGTGAAGATATATTAGATTTTGCCATGTGATTTCTGCCACATCAAAGATTGGCAATAAAGGTTGATGATTATTTAAATATTAATTTTGAATCAACTTTATGTATTTTTCAGAACGATGAACAAATCTGATCTAGATATCAGTGCTATAACAACAAGAGTCTTAGGTAAGGAAGCATGACGTATATCAGACAGATCTCTTACATGTTTTAAAATTATTCAAAGGTATCATTTCTTTTTATATAAAAAAGAGTTCCAGCAAACATCTAGGTAGTAGATATGTCATGGTCTTAACTGCGCAGAAAGATACTTTTTCAGTGAAGCACAAATGAAAGATGTTTTCATTGAAAGACATTTTCATAGAGGTATAAAATTCAAAACTGGAAATCAGTCAAAGAATGAATAGTGTTGTATCTTAATTATGAATCACCATACATGATGAGTCTTTGGGTTGGAATATGTGTATTTTTGGTAAGCTGTAGACATTAGGACAATGATGTTCAATTTGTTGTTCAGCAGTCATAAATAGTGTTTAAATCGTGTTATTTTCATGGACAGCAGTCACTTGGAATCTCAATTATTTCAATGACAATCAGTGTACATTGTATTTGTTTTTGCAAATTGACACCTGAACAGATAGCTAGATTAGGGAACTTTGCAGTACCTGTCATTACCAGGCATGGGCTAATCATCGGTAATATACAGTATATCATTGTTTTAGGTGTTTGTGAGAATATTGTATTACCAGGTAAAATGAATTTTAAAAACAATGTAGTTTTTCTTGCAGTAAGTGAGCAAAAATCGATGTTTTTTCATTGAGAAAAGAACGTTAACTGATTTCTGAAATGTCCTTTCAGTAATGTCGTTTCCAGCAGAGGGAGTCGAGTCAGCATTTAAAAATCATATAGACGATATGAGGAGTTACCTAGAATACAAATACAGAAACGGTTATGCTGTCTACAACTTATCTCAACGAACATATAAAGTGGCAAAGTTTGAAAATAGGGTGAGATTTTGTATAATAATTATTAATAGATGTAATAATAATTTAAGGTTCTTATATACCGCTTTATCACAAGCTAGTTTGTAGGTCGTCTCAAAGCAGTTCACAAACTATTATTCGTGGTTATAAGGCCTTTGCAACCAGCCAATATCTTTCTCAACTCCCTGGGGAGCATACAGCCGGAGCTGCCATTTCGGCGCTTACAGCTAGCAATTAGCATTCAACAATTCTAGCACTGCACTGTATACTGCAAGTCGATCTGTAGAAGTGAGTTTGTTAATGTGTTAATAGTGTACAACTTTTTCTATCTTTTAAATCTATATGGTACAAAATTGATTAATCACATTTGTTAAATATAAATTGATTTATTCAAAGGGGTAAGTAAAAGTACCTCTTAAACTGTAACACTGGATAAGTATTGGCATAAGAAACAAGCAGTGCAAAGCTTTTAATAAAATCCCTTCAATATAAATGATTTTTATATTTCATTAGTTTGTGAATAGCATAACTTATATTGTATTCAACATTTTCATAATATGTGCATGAAAATATTTATATTCCCTCTGACAGTTTATTTGTTCATTAATTTGAATTTAATATTTATTGAAACTATTTCTACCGTTTGTCTCCTGCAGGTATCGGAATGTGGCTGGGCCGCCAGGAAGGCTCCCACTCTAGCCAGTTTGTTTGCCATATGTAAAAATATGCATCTATGGCTGCGACAGAATCCAAAGAATGTCTGTGTTCTCCACTGTCTTGTGAGTGAGATCAGGGAGAGGAGTGGGTTGGGGTTGAAAATATGTAGAAATGTTATAAACAGAATGGGGGGAGTATTCCAATTGTCAGAATTCACATGACGTAGAAACCATGAAAAGGCAATTTGACTGACTGTCATTTATTAAACATTTGTTTTTCCCTGAGCTTTTCTTTGGGCAAAAAACAGATCTAGCATTCCCATATAAGAAAGTATATATGGTAAATAGATTATCTTAGCTTTCAATTTCATCAAGTTTTCGAATCGAGGATAAGATTTTAAATGATTTCATGACAGCAGGCCTTTTCTCGTCTCTGACAGTACTATCATATACAAATAGGAAAAAGTATCCATGTTGTATGTGTTGTTGACCATGAAAAGACAAATTTAAAGTATTAATATTAGATGTTTTCCTAGGAAAGGCAAAGTATCATTGTTCATATTTTGTTGATAGGATGGCAAGGCATCCTCAGCCACAGTAGTCGGTGCGTTCCTTGTGTTTTCACGGCTGTTTGAATCCAGTCAACAGGCCATGCACATGTTTTCCTCACGACGATCTGCTCCAGGAGCCTCGCCAGCACAGAGGAGGTAAATGAAATTTTGTATTGCTTTTTAAGGCCAACTCAGGAATTTATCAAAAAGTCGTTTAATAATATTGATTTCATCCATATTCTGGTATGACTGTAATCATTGCTGTTGTAGGTATATTGAGTACATATCGGAGATCGTTGGAGATCCACCCACTCTCCCACACAACAAAGCTGTTATGTTCAAGTCTTTGTCAATGTCACCAGTGCCACTCTTCAGTAAAATGAGGTAAGGAATGTAGCACAAGTGTCGGAATTGGAATTAATTTTAATAATGTGATTGACCATCTTTACAATTTGCTTCAAGCTCAAATATATGCACACCTGTATTTCTATGGAACAGTTTTCAAGTTAAATACCTACATTGTGATTTAGTGCCATAGCAATCTATGCATGAATACAGTGAGTTTGAAATGAGTGTGAAATATTACCAGTATCATTTCTAGATGCATGTGTTTGCTTAAACAGTTATTGCCTGGCTATTAAAGCTTCTTGTAAAGTTGCCTCATTATTATTCAGAATTAGTTTTGTTAACTTTGATGATTTCAAATGTCTATTATGCTCTTTATGGACAGATATAAACGTTGTAATGGATATTTTACTTTATCAAAACATAATCTTTCAGAAATGGTTGTCGACCATTTGTGGAGATCTATGCGGGTGAAGATCGGATCCTGACAACGTCCCAGGAATATGAAAAGATGCGAGGATTTGTGATTGAGGATGGTAGGGCAACCATTCCTCTCAATATCTCGGCAGTGGGTGATGTCACCATTGTGGCCTATCATGCAAGGTCAACATTTGGGGGCAAAGTTCAGGGCAAGGTCAGTGCATATGGAGTTAACTTCTTCAGATATTTGATTGGTCAAAATGTTGAAAGTTATAAATACATATCTGTATTTTTAAGACTCCAAATTTTGACATTGTGACCACAAGCCTAGTTGTAATACCCCTTCTTTGACATTGTTTAGCGAATATAAACCTGTCGGGACAAATCATCAGTTTATTTGATATTTTTTTTGTAGATAACATCAATGAAAATGTTTCAAATACAGCTACACACAGGAATGGTGAAACCCGGAACTTCAAACCTTAAGTTTACACAGTAAGTAAAAGTACAACTACTTACTTATAGCTCAAATAGTAATCAAAACTACAACTACTAACCTGAAGTTAACATATAGTTATTAAAACTACAACTACAAACATCAAGTTATAACAAGAACCAAAGACCTTTAGTTTCCAACATTAAGTAAACTCAAACTTTAGAACTCAGGTTCACACTAAAGGTAATCTGGACTCACAATCCTCGCGATTTTCAGTGTTATTTATTATATAGGTCATAATAAATAATTTGTAAATACTCTTAGATATTGTCATACAATTTCTTGCTCATATAAATTTCGAAAGCTTCTTGGTACAATGTATGACCTTTCTCATTAAGTAAGTCTGGGTGTGTTCAGTAAAGAAAGCACTTAAGGTATAACAAACAGTGGAAGCTAATAACAAAAATTCATATACACATGTTTGTTCATTATAGTGAAAACCAGAATAATTATGTCTCCCCCCTGAATGAAGGGAGACATATTGTATTAGTACTGGTTCTTCTTCTGGTTCTTCTAATCGCAACTTGTCCGGGCCATAACTTTTAAACCGTTAAAGATATCTTGATGAAACTTTAGGTATGCATGCATCACCCACAGAAGGTGTGCAGTGCACTGGAACTAGGTCGCTGTGACCTTCACCTTAAGGTCAAAGGTCAAATAAGTGCAACATTTTCAGTAAATTCTTGTCCGGCCCGTTAATTTAAAACCATTAAAGATATCTTGATCAAACTTAAAGCATACCTGCATCATCCACAGAAAGTGTGCAGTTAACTGGAATTAGGTCTTGTGCTTCACTATATACAAAGTTATGGCCCTTTGTTAATTTAAATACGGTAGTTTGTCTGGAGCATAAGTTCCATGTTATTTCACCTACGTTGACCAAACTTACCATGTATACAGAGTTATGGCCCTTTGTTTATTTTTAATACCGAAGTTTGTCCACAGCATAACTTCTAAACCATTTAAGATATCTTAATCAAACTTGAAGTATACCTGCATCACCCACAGAAGATGTGCAGTGCACTGGAACTAGGTCTCTTGCCCCACTGTGTACAGTGTTATGTCCCTTTGTTTATTTTTAATACCGAAGTTTGTCCACAGCATAACTTCTAAACCATTTAAGATATCTTAATCAAACTTGAAGTATACCTGCATCACCCACAATCACTCACAGAAGGTGTGCAGTGAACTGGAACTAGGTCTCCTGCCCCACTGTATACAGAGTTATGTCCCTTTGTTTATTTTTAATACCGAAGTTTGTCCACAGCATAACTTCTAAACCATTTAAGATATCTTAATCAAACTTGAAGTATACCTGCATCACCCACAGAAGGTGTGCAGTGCACTGGAACTAGGTCTCTTGCCCCACTTTATGATTGATATCTAATCAGAAAGGCAACCGATTCCCGACAATCGATTATGAGATGTCAACATCGATGATTGTTTTCAAAACCGAAAGTGCGAGTTCTACTTTCATTTTCATAAAGAGAGAACGTGAGTTCTATGTCATTTTACTTTTAACTATAACTTCTTACCATTCATGCTGTTAAAGGGGCATCACGCTGAAGTAACTTTTTTTTTGTCTTTTTTTCAAATACATAAATGTACTACATAAACATATCAAGTGAGACTCCTTATGGAAAATAACGATCAGATTTGGCTGAAATAGATTCATAAAAATGATTAACTCTAAGATAATCATCGGTATTTCTTCCTGTCTGACCAACGTTTTGTTCAGGGATTTCCCTCTACTAGCGCATGCGCATAGCACACCATTTCTTTGTAAACAAAATAACTGGCCGTGGGAAGTAAGCGAAAGAAAAGTGTTGTACCGTGTCCGCTACGAGGCGAAAAGTTGCCAAATGGTCAAAAGATAGCGCAAGGGGGGTACGTTACGGAATCATTTTTGCCAGTGGGAAGTATTCAAAGCAGAAAATAACTGCCCTAGCAGTTAGTACTGATCATGTATTCTTCCGGATAGCAGCCGGTTAGGCTGAAATAAAATCGACAGAAATGCTAGCGCTGTTTATGTGATGAATAAATATCTAAAACTATTAACCTCAATAGTATCATTGTGTGAGTTTGAACACAGATGAACTTAGTTTAATATGTTAATGGGCATGTATCGTGAGAGTTTACTTTGTGTTTTTTATAATTATACAGTGGTTTATGCAAATGAAAGGGATAAGTGACTGGTTAGTTTGATTTTGCCATGAGGCCCTACAAGGGATAACTGTTGTGATGGCCACGGCGTATTCTGTTCTCTGATCCTCTGTCGGTGCTCGGGGTCAAATGAGATACGTGCGCTATTAGATTTACATAATTTATAATATTACCGGGATCAGTAGAATGGTATGATTTAATTATATTGCTGAATTAAACGATTTTTTGTTTTGTTTTGACATGCAAGATTTAAATTAGTACTAATATAATACCCAGCCTCCTCTGGCGCGACGACGCAATATATAAAAAAAATCGCTCTTCGTCAGAAAGCTACGTTATCGCAGCTAGATTAAAAATGTCAAAATGATGGACCAGGATGTATAACTGAGGAAGAAGAACCTACTTCTAGTAAATAGGATCGCATAACATTTTTTTTTTAAATCGTAATTTTCCAACAGTTCATGTTTTCATATGATGTTGACTTAGAATGTATGATCATGTAAAAACCTTTTCTCTATAAAGAATAAATGTTCGACTTCAGATAGAATCGGAATACGTATTGAAAACAGGGGGGGAAATATTTGATTTCGTTGTAAAAATGGTGCGTGCTGCCGATAACTACGGCTTCTGTTTCAGACAAAAGGAACTGATTAAAGAAAAGTTGTCTCAGCATAAAAAGGTCCATTTACAAGTATGCTTTAATCTCTGTAAAGTATTGAAAAAATATAATTATCAAGTATCTCAACACGTTCCTTATTGACACATATTCTACATGTATACGAAGTGGTTTTGCCATACAGTTTATTGTGTGTGATGGTTAATATGACTTACTAAATGTTAGCGTATGGAGACAGTGAAAGTGGGAAAGAGAGTATACATAGATTTATATGCATGGTCTAGAAAAAAAATGGTCAAAGACATTGAGTTGTATAATGTAATAAATAAATTCACAAATGTTTCCTTTTTTATTCGCATGTAGTTTGTCATTGCATATATGCACTTTATGTAAACATTTGAAAAGGGATATTCGTCTTGTGAATATTCCTTTTTACAGAAAGGTTTGTCCCATTGTTGAGGGAAGGTGTTTAGCCCCGTACCACCTGTACCGGTCACATTCCGGTACTAAATTCAATATATATTTAAATATGTCTACTTCTGTTTGTTTATGCCTATTATCATTGTTGACATTTAATTGTAAATATATGACGGGAGAAGGCTGTGATAAATTGTAAAAACTTTTGCCCCATCCCTTGCTTAATTTTATTGGCAACAAATTTATGTTTAAAGCTAAATAAATTCAAATTCTGAATATTGGCAAGTGTGCAATTAACTTCTGATGATGAATAATTACTGTTCAATAAGTTTGAATACGGACTTAGAAATCATATAACTTGGTTTCATAGTGCGTTAAGAAGTTGCAGTTGCCTGACGGCCCCTCTCTGGGGGCCCCTTTGGAAACCGTTTCATCTCGATTGGGTTTGCCTCAAAATTGAAATTTCATTAATAGTATTAATAAAAGGAAAAGCCATGTCATTGTTCAAAAAAAGTGATATTTTGGATTATGCAACGGTAGGCTAACCAATTTTAAAATAATCAAAATTGTTCGGGGAAATTTCGGGGAAATCTCAACCGAATCCCAACACTAAAAGAAGATATCCTTTATTCCTTTGACATTGACTGTTGTAGATTTGACCTTGATCAGTTGGACTCTGCAGACAAATACCCAGAGATGTTCTGTGTGATGATGGATGTCGCCGTGGCAACCAATGAGAGACCACGTACAGATCCCAGTTATCCGTGGGAAAAGTTTGACTCCTCAAAACTTAGTCCAAAAATCTTATTTTCATCAAAGGAGGAATTGCATCAGACGTGCTCAGATTTTGGTAAAGTATTTTTAATATTATCTTAATCGGTAGTATGTGCTAGCATTACTTTGAAAGGCATGCCACTTATAATTCCCAGGTCATATAAAGCTGACAAGATACTGAAGTGCCATCAAAGATAAAAAAGTGATTTCATTTGATAAATTGGAAAATCGCAAGTGTACAACCAGGATATAAGGTTACTATTTGGAGAATTTCATTTGTACTAATAACAAAATATCTAACTCTACTGTACATCTATGATCAAATTTTGCCTACTCACAGATTTGAGTCAGAAGAGGTTCTATAGCAATACAAACAAAAAACACTTCTATTGAAAAATAAGAATTCTTAGTATTACGGTGTAGATGTATGTATATTTTCAAAATATGTTTTGTTGATCTTTAACAGGTGTATCAAATCGTGCCAAAATGCGCCTCACTAGATCATCAAGTCAGAGTTCCTCGAGTGAGACAGACAGCCCGGTTCATATGCCCCACACACCAGACAGACAGGCCAAACAGCAGGACCAGCCAACAGAGGTCCAGGAAAAACCTGTTGAATTGTCTGGCAAAAACTTTTTTGCTTCACTGCACTGGCAGGGTGAAACAGGTGAGCAAGGTCCTCAGGATGATTCAAAGCCCAAGAACTTGTTTGACATGGAGTCTGAACAGAATCTGCTGGATGGTGACAGTGAGGACGATGATGACTTTGCTTCACTATCGTATCATAGAAAGTCACAAGACAAAAATATAGATGGACCCAGTGAGCAGGGATCACAACAAAATGGAAAGACAGTACATGCAGATCTGTTGAATATCAACAGCTCGCCGGCACATGTACAGCGTGATATAGACTTATTAAACATAAATGAACCTAGTAATTTGGATCTTCTTGGGGGCAGTGATTCCAAGGGGTCATCGTTTGAACCTTTTAGCAATGCAAGCACAGTAGATAGTAGTGATACCTTTGACCTGTTCCAGAATCTAGGCTCATCGAAACCTTCACAGAGTAATAACCAGGCAAAGGACACAAAGGACACCTTTGACCCATTCCAGAATTTGTCATCAACAGCTCCAAGTCAATCTCAGAGCCAATCTAACAACATTTTTGATCCATTCGAGAAACTTGCTTCTTCTCAAAGTGAAAAAGAGGAAAGTAAATCACAGCCTTCAACCAATCAGAATGGAGGATTTGGTGCGTTTGATTTGTTGGGAAACACAGACTCTAGTAGTAGTAACACATTTGATCCCTTTAGTCAAGTGCAGTCAGAACCAGCCACCAAACATAAAGAAAAGGACGAGTTCTTAGACTTTATGGAAAGTAAGACAGACGCCACAAATGACGACGAGCCAAACTTAATGGGTAACTGGTCAACACCTATTATCAACATTCCAGGGGCTGGCGCTTCTAATTCTACTGCAAATTTGACAAAGAGTAACTCGGCATCAAATTTCCAGCAACAGTACCAAGGAACAAACATTCCACGCAACAACAGTGGCACATTCAAGGGCGGACAGTCTGCTATGGGAGGGGGAGGAATGTCTGCTATGGGAGGGGGAAAACCTACCCCAGGCTTTGGTAGCACTGGTAACCTTGGTCAACAACAGAAGGCAGATCCATTTGCAGATTTTGGTAAGTTCAGTTACATTGTACTGTCTTTTGTCATGGCATCAGTCATTCTACCTGTTTTCACAAATAGTGATAGCTGTAATTATGTATGCCTAGTAATAACTATCCAAGTTACACTTAATATATATCAATGTACATGTATAATGTAAATAAAGTTCCAATGTTCTGCTCTCAGTATAAAATCATATTTTAATGGAATTTGACTTTGAAATGTCTTCATTTCTTTTGAAAATTCTTCCAGTGAAATATGGTATTAATATTTTTTGCCATTTTGTTGGTAGGGAGTTTTGGGGGTAAGGCCAAGGGTCCCACCCTGACAGGAGCCAAGCTTACCACAGCCCCTCAGTCCTCGCAGCAGCCTGCTTTCAACAGTGGGGGGGCATGGCAGCAACAACAGCAACCTCGTAGTTCTCCCCAAGGATCGCCCAAACCCCAGCGACCAGCAGCAGCGCCTACCCAACCAGCCAAACCAAACTACAATGTGGGGTACAGTAGTGTGATGGGTGGCCGGGAGGAGAGAGGAACCAGGAAACCATTTTTAGGTAACAAATTCAGAAGAGTAACAGCAAAAACTACCTAACTGTAATTAACAAGTAGTTTTCTACGCTGCATAGAGACTTGAACATCATAAGCATAAATCGGGACATTATTTTGGAAATTTGTCAGTCTTTTCAAGTCTTTCATTTGTTATATAGGGTTTGAAGTGCGATATTTCCAAGATATATGTAATATGAATGACTTAATAAACAGCCTTCACAGTGTTATGGCTACTCCTATAGCATGTCAATGATTTTCTCTCATTTATACATTATAGTTAATTAAAAACTCCAGCTTCAATTCTTATAATTCAACAATATTATAACATTTATACTGGTTAGATTGTATTTAGCTCCATTTCTCTGTTAAGACAAGTCCCGGAGTCGTCAACCAGCCTATTACACCATTATGTATATTTTCCGCTTCACTGACTCTGGATAGACTTCAAATTTGGCTCCATTTGTGCAGTTAGACTGCATTTTTAATAGCTTATCCAAGGGCATGTAAACATAATTAATGATATATACATGTTAGACAAATATCTTCTACTTTAAAGCGTAGAAAGACAAACCTTTGTTTTCCTAAGCAGCACCAAGAATCCATATTACGTAGACTAGAGTACTAAAACCGGTTTTGAAGTGTGATTATTGTGTGTAGGTACCAAGCCCAAATTAGGAGCTGATACATTTGGAGATTTACTTGGAGGACACCAGTTCACTAGCGCCAAGGCAGGCGAGCCTCAGTCCCTAGCAGAAATGAAGAGAAAGGAGTTAGAGGAGGAGATGGACCCAGACAAACTCCGAGTAAGATATCACTGTAGTATGTGTAGAATCATGTTTCTTCAATCATAGTGAACATTATAGTATAAGTATATGAGACAAAATGTTTCTATATGGTATATAAGACATGTGTTTAAGTTGTGTATCCAAGCTACATGACTGTTTATATGAAGTTTTATTGCAAGGTACATTTTATTTTCAAGTCTTGTAATTGTTTTGTGGATAACTGTATTTCCAGATCCTGGACTGGATCCGAGGGAAGGAACGGAATATCCGGGCTTTGTTGTGTTCACTTGACAAGGTCCTGTGGGAGGAGGAAAAACGCTGGAAGGGTGTCGGCATGGCTGAGCTTGTGACTGCTGACCAGGTGAAAAAGGCTTACAAGAAGGCAGTGTTGTGTGTCCACCCAGACAAGGTAGGCTTTCCCTAGCATAGATCAATACATTCAGTTCACTGGTCAAAGGTTATCATCATTATCACTAGGACTGTATTTCAAAAAAGGCATTATGAACCATAACTTTTCGCTTCTTCGTTTAAAAGTAATAGATACATTCATCAAGTAAGGGTCAAGAAAAATGTACATTTTAGGGTTAAAATCTCAAATGTCAAGGTCAATTCATTCAATCACAAAAATAATCCTTCTTGTATTACTGATGCAAGGACCAAAATCTGAAGTCATTTCTAGTTGTATTTGAGTGATTGTTCGGGACATTTTACCTCACAATATGTTCTTTTCTTGTAGCTGGCATCATCACCATATGAAGATGTTGCAAAATTGATATTTATGGAACTGAATGATGCCTGGGCACAATTTGAAGAGGAAGGCATGAAAGCACTTTACTAGGTCCTATAAACTTGTTCCTATACTGTTATATCCAGCATATAAAGCACCTTTAATAGTGAGACAGATTTCTCTGTTGTGTTGTGCAAGATATTTTCTGAAGTAGACATTTGTATGTTTCATCACTATACAAACACCTGAACAAGACACATTGTTGACGTGTGTGGTTGCAAATATATGCAATACCGTACTGAGTAGATAGTATGTAATATCATTTACTAGATATTTTTATTACCATAAAAATGAATGATCATCTCGTCTGTTTTTGTTGCTATTTTACCAAAAATAACATTTCTTTTTGTCCATTATTTTTGTTTTTTTGTTCAGATTGTTTTAAAGTTGTGATGTGTATTATTTTACTGTTACTTACCTGTTAGAAAAGGAAAATGATAATAGAAACACAGTGACACTGAAATATTAACATGTGAATGTGCAATTACCGGTAAGGTTATAATGATCCACATGAATCTGTGTTTGATTATTGTATTTTCATTTAATAAAATGTATTTATTCTGTGATGTTAACTTCTCCATCATGCCATATTGATTTCCAAACACTTGTTATTCTTAATTCAATTACTTTACTTGAAAAAAATTGTCTGATTTTTAAATTCAGTCAGTCATTTATGGTTAATATGGAATGCATTTGTACCAAGATATTACTTGAAAAGTGATTGATTGTTCGATTGTTTCTGTAAGTAACAGCTTTAGATCAGTGTGGTTGACTGAACTCTCACTGTGACATATTCAAGGCTGTTTTGTAATGCTAGTTCGTAAGTTTCAAGATTTGTTTACATGGCTATGACTTCAGGTTTACAAGTCAGGTGTATATGAACCTTGAAACTGGTTAGGCTGGATACTTTGGTTTTGACTGCCTGGAAAACTAAATTAACAGTGAAGGAATAAGGTTTGATCTCTCGGAAAGCCATATCTGTTAGCATTTGAGATGCGAGTTTCAGTTATCAGAGTGTTTTTGCTATTTCTAGGTTACAATGTTTAGCCACAGGGAAACGGTTCACTGAGAGTTGTTAATGTGTAGTTACCCCCTCCTTAAGTCTGGGTCTCCCAGATGCTTATTAGCTCACCTGCCCGAAGGGCAAGTGAGCTTATGTTATGGTGCGGTGTCCGTCGTCCATCAGTCCGTCCGGCAAAAACTTTTTACTTTAAACAACTTCTTCTCAATAACCAAAAGGCCCAGGGTACTGATATTAGGCCTGTAGCATGCTGTGATGAAGGGCTACAAAGTTTGTTCAAATAAATGACCTTGACCCACTTTCAAGGTCACTGGGGTCAAATATGTTAAAATCTTCAAACAACTTCTTCTCAATAACCGAAAGGCCCAGGGTACTGATATTAGGCCTGTAGCATGCTGGGATGAAGGGCTACCAAGTTTGTTCAAATGAATGACCTTGACCCACTTTCAAGGTCACTGGGGTCAGATGTCTTAAAATCTTCAAACAACTTCTTCTCAATAACCAAAAGGCCCAGGGTACTGATATTGGGCCTGTAGCATGCTGGGATGAAGGGCTACCAAGTTTGTTCAAATGAATGACCTTGACCCACTTTCAAGGTCACTGGGGTCAGATGTCTTAAAATCTTCAAACAACTTCTTCTCAATAACCAAAAGGCCCAGGGTACTGATATTGGGCCTGTAGCATGCTGGGATGAAGGGCTACCAAGTTTGTTCAAATGAATGACCTTGACCCACTTTCAAGGTCACTGGGGTCAGATGTCTTTAAAATCTTCAAACAACTTCTTCTCAATAACCAAATGGCCCAGGGTACTGATATTGGGCCTGTAGCATGCTGGGATGAAGGGCTACCAAGTTTGTTAAAATGTATGACCTTGACCCATTTTCAAGGTCACTGGGGTCAGATGTCTTAAAATCTTCAAACGACTTCTCAATAACCAAAAGGCCCAGGGTATTGATATTGAACCTATAGCATGCTGGGATGAAGGGCTACCAAGTTTGTTCAAATGAATGACCTTGACCAGCTTTCAAGGTCACAGGGGTCAAATGTTTTAAAATCTTCAAACAACTTCTCAATAACCAAAAGGCCCAGGGTACTGAAATTAGGCCTGTAGCATGCTGGGATGAAGGACTACCAAGTTTAATCAAATGGATGACCTTGATCCACTTTCAACCTGATGTCCTTGTTTGACATTGAAGGTCACAGGCGTCATATGTTTAAATCTTTTAATAGGTTCTTATGAATCAAATACTGATATTCTGCCTGTAGCTGTATTTTAGTCCACTTTTAAGATTACAAGTGTGAGATTAATACCAGGTGAGCGATGCAGGCCCATTGGGCCTCTTGTTGTTATGGTTATGTTGACACTGATTGTTGATAATGTGTAGTTACCCCCTCCTTAAGTATGGGTCTCCCAGATGCTTATTGTTATGGTTATGTTGACACTGTTGTGTTTGTTATAAGATGAAGAACAGAGTAAACACGTTTTGTTATAGATTGTTGAAAAAGAGTGATATTTCAAGTTTGTAATTGATTACATTAGAGTATAATTACTGTATATTGTATGAGCAATTTTTTAGGTCACCCGAGGCAAAGTCTCGAGTGACCTATTGTGATCGCCTTTTGTCCAGTGTCGTGTGTCCGTAAACAATTTACATTTTCGACCTCTTCTCCAAAACGCCAGAACCAATTTCAATGAAATTTTGCAGACATCTTCTAAGGCCAAACGTCAACCAAAATTGTGAATTATATGGTCCACAGCCCCCAGGGGCCCGAGGGGCGAGGCCAAAAAGGGTCAAATTGACTAAAATTTCAAAAATCTTCTCCTCAAGATCCAGATATGCTAGAATCAAATACTCTTCAAAGATGGAAGGGTCTTAAGGTGCTTTACCAAAATTGTGAATTTCATGACCCTGGGGTCTCGCGTTTCCCTCTGGCGAGGGGGTAAACTTTACTATAGTTTAATTATGAATTATACGGTCCCCAGCCCCCAGGGGCGGGGCCAAATAGAATCAAATACTCTTCATAGATGGAAGGGTCTTAAGGTGCTTTACCAAAATTCAGCTGACTGACAGAACCACTATTTGTACATAGTACATATACAACCCAGATCTTTCACACTACTTTTGCATTACATGTAGTTCAAGTTACCTTTGTTACAAAATGATTTCTTTTTCATTTGACAACATCCATATAACATCCGTTTTTACATTACTCAGGTGACTGTTAAGGCCCATGGGCCTCTTGTTTCTATAAAGAGTGAAGCTGATCTCATGTTACGGATGGGGCGTCTTTTACCAATTTCTTAATGTTGTGTCCGATAGGCACGTAAATAACTTCTAAGATGTACATGTGTTGAATCTGAATGAATTATTGTAATGTACCAATTACTGTTCACGTCATTGTAAACAATAGGACAACATGGTTTGAAGAACCAGTGAACAAGTTAAACATGAAAAATTCTCTTTTGACGCCATCAACAGTATGGTACATCAAAATAGTTAGTTCAGACACGGTTAACTCATTCACCCCTGAAACCTCATAATGAGCTATTCCAACCTTTGAATTGGAAGGGTTCAAAATGTGTCTTCAGGGCTGAATGAGTTAAGGTTTTATCAAGCTTACCGTCTTAGACTGATGTACAATATAAATGATACCTGGTATCTGAGTGAATGTATATGTTGTGAGGCACTGCCTTTATACTGTATGTCTAACCCTATTACATTGCACACATTTCCTGAACTCATTCCAAGTCATGAGGTTACTTGATGTTGTTATACAAATCATTCTATAACATGATTCACTGGATAAATAACAAATTAATTTTTGGAAACACCTTTTGTTTGATTGTTAAAAGAAATGTCTTGAAATCTGATTCTGTCTTATGAGGTATATTCAAAGTACCAGTGGCTTTTATCTCTTTTAGATAAAAAATGTTCCACTATTTATTGATGTGTTAAATAAGAGTGACAATATTTTACTGGTAGAATATGAACTGATTGTGTGTTATATGTAATGCTGTTATTATCATGGTAGACCCTTTACACTATCACTGGTATAACATCTCTATGATAAAATGTGTTCTCTATTGGTCATCCTTGCTATCGTAACAGGGGAGAGAGGCAGCCGCTCGATAACTGATTCATTTGTATAGTGACTTCAATTAAGGCAAAACATTTGGTGATGGGGTCAGAAAAAAGGCTCCCTGTCATCTCCCCCATTATTTTCTCCGATAAGAACTTGATTTCAAATTCATTATAAAATTAATTGGAGTGAAAATTTGGAATACAGCATTTAATGTGCATTTTCTTCATTCCATGTACTATCAAATGGTATATCAAAATCACTGGTGTAATTTAAAGAAAAATATATAAAATCAGTCTATTGACCCTTTATGTATTGTTTGTACTTATCCAACAGATAGAACCGATGAAACTTCTTAACTATAACTGGTAGATATAGATATACTGTACAAGTCATGACTGACTTGTGTGTATTAATTGTTGTAAAGTTACATAAGAGATTGGAATACTGGATGGACCAAGTGCAATAACTACGTTTATTTATTGTAATTGTTTAGGATTGTTCACTTCAGTTCCCACAGGGGCCAGAATATAATACTTATCATTATAATACAGTTTACATAGCTCCTCCTTGTCTATGACAAAACAAAGTTATAACAGAAATTACCAAATAGTCTAGTATGACAGTCGATGTAGGATGGAATTTGGAAACATTAAAAGTGATCTTTGACTAAATTATAGTACATAAACAGATTTATATATGGAATTTCACTGTAAAAGTGATTATAAAAATTGGACTATATTTGGAAAGTAGTATAGTTATGAGGAATATGATATTACTTAAGATTACATTGTACTATTGTCTTTTCTTCTGCTTAAGATATACAGTTTTGTAAGTTAATAGTATCAACTAAATGTTGAAAGTGTAAGTAAACACTTTGGTTAATACATGTATCTGTTACCTGTAGTTACTGTGTAGACTTGTAATAGAACAGAATGCTACGCTATATTTAGCTACTGTCATCATATCGACATTAGTCAGTTCATTTAATAACTTGCACACAGGCTTGTATCGACCACCTGGTAATAGGTATATGTTAAGTTCACATAAGCAGGTTCATGTATACTCTGAAGATAACTAATACAAATTATTGCCACCATAACCTGGAAATCTATTTGTCCCCTAATATTTGTAATATCTATAAACTATTTCTATAGGTTGTCCTACATTCATTACATTCCGTATTCATTTCATTTAAAAGGATGATGGTCTCCTCAATACACCGAATCGTTGACATTTATGTTATGTAAAATTTCCATGTACGTATTCAGCTCACCTGCTGAAATCATCGTTTTCAACAAATCTATAACAGCAATGCTACCCTGTTATCCAGAGATATTTCTGGGGCCTATTTAGCACTTCTGAATATCTCAACACTATCTTCAATTTGATAAGCCAAGGCCTTGGAAATGGGTGAAGTATATCACTGGAGATTCCATACAATGTACATGGGGTCAGTTTAACTGGGGTTCTTCTGCCTAATTTGAATAAATTACTGAACACGAATTGGATCCTATGTAATTTCTATACATTAAAAAGGTACAAGTTGCCATCAATATTAACTCTAGGGGATGCAATAGACATTGGTCTTGTTCCTAACTTTGGTACTATATAGTCGAGTTTGTACCAGATGCAACTCTCATTTGTAAAGAAGGTTGGTGTGTTACAGATCATATGGTCTCATCACGAATACTATACATGAAGTTGATTAAAGACCCCAAAGATATACATGTACTAGGGGGAAAATAGGTATTGACATTATTTATTTCATGCCATAACAGATATATGTTCAAACATTTCACGAACTACATGTATATTTTTGATAATTTCACCAATGTGAAATACAATATGCCACGTGACACAACAATAGGCTCTACTTTGCACCATTATACTTTCATTAAGACATCATAACATCAATTTTTTTTCTAAATCGGAAAAGTCAAATCATATGTTTGGAAGTGGAAATCTTTCTTTTTTTTTCAACATGCAGTGTGACTTTTATAGAATACACTGGAATTTTGTGAGAATTGATCAAAATTTGTATCCAGTTTCATGTTCTCTAACCACCTAGCATGTTATGTGAAAATAGAAGTCTTTCAAGTGTATTGGAAACGTATGTAGGTACAGTACTTATTACATAAGTCCTCTGGAGTATAACACAGGTAAATAGGTATGTTATAGTTATTAGAGGCTTTCCGAGTATTACATATCTAGGTACAATACATATATGTAATAACATACAAGTCCTCTGGAGTATTACACAGGTAAAAAAGTAAGATAATTAATATTCCATAGATGCTTCCTGAGTATTACACAAGTGTATGGTAGTTATTACTATGAGGCATCACAAGTATTAGACATATACCATTAATTAGGGACCTCCCAAGTCATGCATAATCATAAATGTTGTGGCATAGTTTCATTCCAAAATCATATGTGTGTTCATACATCAAACAACATTGTGTAAATTGTGATTTAGATGTGTTTTATATGATGAGTGTAGTAGATTTCTGGGTCTGCTGTTCAAAATCTTAAAACCTATACATTGTTCAACCTTCTACACATGGTTTGTTAGAGGGAAAAGAGAATAACGTTTAATGCTGTAGATTTCTTATGTTTTGCACACAATTCGTTTTTCTGAATTAACTTGGTACTTTTCCACAAGGAATTGAATTTTTGTTTCAGTTGGTGTGTAAAGTTATAAAGAAATAATTGTTCGCATGATATTTGAATTTGCAATTGGTGCTTAGCAATTAACACTTAATTGGGAAAAAAACACTGCAAATAAAATCCTTCCCAGTGTTGAAATTCAGCATACTAGTATTTCTCCCCTAAAGATGATATGGTGTTTTAGTCCATTAAGTGGAACTCATATAGTTTTTAGCTGCCTAGCTGCATAAATGGGTACCAGCATTGGATTTAAAAGATCTTTACCATCCCGTGGCTAGTGAACAGGTTTAGGGGACCGAGTAACTGCCCCAGTGATTGTTGTGAATTGCACAAGATATGAGCCTTTGACATTCTTGTAATTTAATCGTCTCTCTGATTACCAATGATCCTGGGTCAAGTCCAAGTACAGGCCTCTCATATAGGTGTGGAAGGTTTTGAACATTGTAGACCAATACAATAGACATTTAGTGCGTGGTGATAGGGATTTTAAGTTAGTAATTCATACCAGGAGAGAATCGTTTCCTGTACTTGTATAGATGACACTACTGTTATTTACATTAAGGAGTTGTAGAATGATGTAATCATATGTGACGGCAAATGTCTATATCATTTTGTGTCTAATATTAAAATCATATTGTTTGTATATAGGAGAGAAACGATGGAGTATTGTTCTTACGTATAGGACACATGTGATTGTATATTTAGCATTGTAAATGTGTCATAAACAATGAACCACAGTAGCAAACATAATCTTGTTGTTTGAGTTATTCTTTATATTAGAATTTGGAAACTTATTCCCCCTGCATTCGACTACAACACAACAAATTGTACTACTTCGACTTCAAAATATTAAGAAACCTCTGAAATACCTTTTATAAGTAGTGCTTTAGATTTTGTTAATTAGTTGATGATGCTCATGAAGGGTACACAAAAACACAAGCATTGATAACATTGTAGGCAAGTCTATTCAGATTGAAATATAATGCAAATTATGTCAGTCCCTGAATCATCAACAAAGTAAATTAACATCTAATTCTGAAGTTGTAACGCTTTAAATTTCATGGTGAAAATATAAATTAAAATTTTACATACCGGTATATGAAATGCCAGTTTTTGTATACCTGTTCATAAGGCAAAACAAACCCATCCCCTGTTACAGAACATTCACCTGTCCATCCATCTGTCAACTGTTTGTTTAAAGGACTTCTTCTGAAGATCTAAAAGGCCTAGAGACATGATATTTATTTAGCAGCATCCAATGATGGAGCCCAACAAATTCTGCGAATGTAAATAACCTTTACCTACTTTCAAGGTCACAGGGGTCAAATATGTTAAAAAATTCAAACAACAATATTTAAAGGACCATAAGGACTAGAGTTATGATACATGGATATGTTATGAAGACCAGCAGAGCGAATCTTTTTCTTTATTACAGTAATGAGGTCAAAGTTCAACTTTGAAGTGCTAGCCGAGGTCAAAGATCAACATGGGGTTAAGAGCTTTAACAATCTTCTTCTCAAGTTCCATTGGGCCAAGGGTCATGATATTTGGCCAGTAGGTACCTGGGATAGATTGCTTAAGTTTCCTCATTAAAATGACCTTGACCAAGATTTAAGGTCACAGGGGTCATATATGTTAAAAACTTTAAACAACAATATCTTAAGAACCATTTGGTGTAGAGTCATGATACTTGGATGTTATGTAGACCAGCTGTGTATATCACTTTCTTATTACAGTAATGAGGTCAAAGGTCAACTTGAAGTGCTAGCCAGAGTCAAAGGGCAAGGTGGGTTAAAAGCTTTAAAATTAAAATTCTCAAGTTTCAAACAATCTCTCAAGAACTGTTTAACACTCAAGAACTGTTTAAGAGATGTTAAAATTTCTTGTATTCTAGTTACCAAATTTGGTCTGAAGTTACCTATATGTCAGTTTTATATAACAAAAAAAAAGAGGTGAGCCTTACAGGCCCTCTGGGCCTCTTGTTCATAAACATGGGGAACAATGGAGTTTTGCACGCCTTATTTGCTGATACCAATAAGAAGTGTTGACATTTGAATATGACATGACAAGATTGCTTACCAAAAGTTTGGTATTGAACAGGATAATTTGACCTTGTTCACATCGCAAGAAGTCCATGGGCTTAATCAGTCATGCTGGGAATTGTATCGGACAAAAGAACAAAACTTAAAAAGTAGCCCTTCATTTTCATCACCACTATATAACTACTTGTTAAATATCATGACTCTAAGCCTTATGGTTCTTAAGATAATGTTGTTTTAAAGAATTAAACATATCTAACCTGGTTTCCTAGAATGAAATGATTCTCCTAAAGTTGAGGACAGATTCTTACAGCTGAAATGGATCCCCATCCAAAATGATCATATGCTTACCTGTCAAAATAAAGTGTTGGTCTCGTGTTCATAGAATTGGTACATCAACGATGTGATTGAAAGTAAAACTTAAGATGCACTACAAGACTCTTTGGTTATTGTGGATTTAACAACGGGATTTAATCAGATTAAGCAATAGACAATAACCGTATAATTTTTTGTCATTGAATTTCCCGATAATCTAGACATTTATTGCAACCTTTTCATCAACTTCATAATAATTTCCATTTTTCAGGAATATCTAATCCTTACATAAATGGTTTATACATTACATAACATACATGTAATTATGAACAACTAATGATTAAATAAAAGTGAGTTTATCATTAACCTGGAAGGCCTAACAAGTGGAATAGCACATATACAATGATATTCTCAGAAACAATTAAACAGTTATACATATTAAATACAGTTGAATATCACAAAAAAATGTTTTTCAATCAAGAAAGTCTCAAATTGTTCATTCTTGTTTCAATTGTTTATCTAAATCAGTATCAGACATTTCTGTTGAATGCCTCGATGAACTGACCCAATGCTTTGCACCAATCCACTAATGTTACCATGATCTGAAGTCCTTGCATCCATGAAGTCTACTGTCGTATCTCCTTTCATCATCATGACAAGTTCAAAATACTTCATTTGGGAGTAAAAAGAAACGTGATTCAGATGTTGTTCATGGACAACACCACACAACAAGTTTGAAATTTGATGATCATGATTTCTATAAACTATGTTGACAGAACCATTTTGTCATTAATAATTGTGTTATCTTTACCCCTTGAAATGCTGGCTAACAAACATGGCAGCTACACCTCTGTGTCTACCTTAAAGGCACACTCTGTTTCATTGTTTACTTTTTAGAAATAACTGCACAATGTCATATCACTGTTGTGTTGATTTCCTTCAGTTCACTCTGTGTGCCTGGAGCTGAGATGAGAGTTCATCAAATAACTGTTTCAGATGGGCTGGGGTATTGAAGAAGTAAGAGAACATCTTTCTTTCTTTATGAAGCAGGGGGTCATTCCTCAGGGTCTGAAAAACACACCAGAAGTTACTAATACCACAGACAATAAGCAAGTGAAATTTATTTGACATATTTAAAAGCACATTGCTGTCTACTTTCATTTAGTGTTTCAAAACATTTTAACTTGTCAGACTTGGGACAAAAAGTGATTTTTTGAGAACTTGGTAAACATCTACCTGCCCAAAAATTTAACTATTAGACTTTTCTATTAAATACATAACAATCCAACAGTAAAACAAAGAACTTCAAGACTCCTGATATTTACCAGTAAGCCATTTTGGATTGTCAACCTACCTGTTTCTTGCTCTCTAATTCCTTGACCACATCTTTGATGGACTGTTCTAGTTTCTTGATCAGGTTTTCCAGGGTAGTCATAGAGTCCAGCAGTTGTCTAGGGGTCAGTGTTGGCTGACCGCTAGTTGTACTAGAGCCGGCATACACAAGGTCAAGACAGGTCGTAAGGTTGCTCTCCCTGTTAAAATAACATTTTTATTCAAATTGTTTTCATAATCTCTATCAAGAAATAGACTTCCCTAAAACAGAAATAGATACCAAACCAGCTATTACATGAGTTATGCGACTGGTATATTGTAGACAATGTAACACTTACAGTAGGTTAAGCCTGCTGTCATGTCGAACGGCTGTAGATATGAGTGTGTGCTGAGCTGCATCACTTTCAGACTTCAGCTGACGTGCACCTTCTACCAGACCATTGAAGGTGAGGAACAGCTGATCAGCTCCTTTACCACCCCTGTCACCTGGAAATGAACCGGTAGGACTTAATCACCAGGTCAACATAAGTGGAACAGTTCTGATACTATCACCCCTCTCACCTGAGAATGGACAGATCCGACTTAATCACCAGGTCAACATAAGTGGAACAGATCTGATACTATCACCCCTCTCACCTGAGAATGGACAGATCCGACTTAATCACCAGGTCAACCAGTTTATTATCAGTATTTCCCAAGAATCACAGTTCAGTTGTAGGTTCCACTTATTACAACTGAAGTACTTTGCTATTAACCACGTCAAACTACAACCTCAAGTTTGAAAGAACAATGTCATACACATCAGTATGACGTTTTAATAAAAAGTTACCAAAAAGTGCATTTACTGTTTACATGCCTCAATCCAACTGATGATCGATCAATCTTGCATAGACCTAAGAGCTGGATAGAACAATGCCAAAATCCTTCTGGGCTCTTCTGTCTATCAGGATGTGTTTCTAACATCATGATTTATTACAAAGATATTCTGCCTTGACCAAGATAACTGTAAAAGCATATATTATCATAACAAGTATTATGACTTTCTGTTGGCTTAGCATGAACAATTTCAAAGTTGAGAAACAATTTATGCAATGCTTTTAGAAACCTATTGAGAAATACAAAGTATGTCATAAAGTGAGGGCAATCGTATCAGAGTCCAATATTTCATTTCCAGCACTATTCCCTGATAGTTACCCAACAGGTGGTGGAGCCGTGTTGTAAACTTGTCCCTGGAGTCCACAGTCCCTCGCTGGTATTTTGCAACACTCAGGGTTGGTTCATCCATCATTGACTGTGAGACAACAAACAAGCTTCATGAATAAAATTATCCTGATGATGGTAATATAATTATATATTTTTAGAAGTGAGATATAGGATTCATGGACTTGATTATCTTTTAAGATGTTTCATCGATATCTTTCTGTAAGTGAAAGATATACATCTGACCATTGACCAATACTACTATTCACAATTATGAGTGCTTGCATTACATTGCCCTGAAATCATAATCCAAATGAATTATATGAAACTAAAATGTATTCTTCACATCTGTTAAAGACTTTTTTTAAAAGCATCTGATTTATATTGTGTGAGACTTCTGTCTCACTCTACAATGAAATAAGTGCAAGCTGTATGCTTTGATGTCAGAAAATGGTATTGAAGGCATCAGAAAACTATCAGTAGTTACAGTATGAGGTGATGATTGAGATTTATTGTCCAAGACTCTTCTGGTGTCTAATGTTGTCATGGACAAATGAAGTCATGGAATATTACACATCACAGTACAATACCAAGGTTGGGGGACATTTTTTCAGATACAGTATTTTTAAACATACTTTTTGGAGTACTTTACAAACGTAATAACCAGAGCATGTAATTGTTTCCATTTGAATACCATGTTTCACTCATCTGGCAGTGTATCATGGACTTGTGATATTAACATAAGATAATATTCATTCAGTCAATAACAACTTTAAGTATGATTCATAAAGTTGTTTTGTTAGACATGTCGTTGCAAGCCTATTATTTGACACAGCATGCTTTTATAGATTCAGTTCCAACCAGTCAATTGTTATCACAAATACATGGTTTATACTATAAATATTTCTGACCATTCCTAGCTTACTTACCATTCGACTAGACCATGACTGTAGTTGTGTCTGTAGCTGCTGTTGGATGGTTTATACTATAAATATTTCTGACAATTCCTAGCTTACTTACCATTTGACTAGACCATGACTGTAGTTGTGTCTGTAGCTGCTGTTGGATGGTTTATACTATAGATATTTCTGACCATTCCTAGCTTATACTTACCATTCGACTAGACCATGACTGTAGTTGTGTCTGTGGCTGCTGTTGGATGGTTTATACTATAGATATTTCTGACCATTCCTAGCTTACTTACCATTCGACTAGACCATGACTGTAGTTGTGTCTGTAGCTGCTGTTGGATGGCTGTCAGCAGGCGATGTGTGTCACGGTGACCTTGAGTCTCCACCTCAAATGCCATCGTTAAGAACTCATTCCTTGACCGCTGTTTCACCAGCTCACTAATCACCTGAGAAGTTTGTCACATAACAAGCAATATTAATATAACAATGTCTTTTATCCTGAGGAACATATTAATAGAGGTTGGAATGTTTTGAATGAATATCTTGGTGGTTCAGTGTTATATCATTGGGCCAGAAATGTACATGTTATGTTTAACTTTAGGCACTCAAAAGAAATGGTAGGTAATTAAAAGATCATGTTCTTATTCTATGAGAGTATTCCTACATATTTACAATGTTATATAGAGTCAGTGTAACAGACTCTATTTATGATGGTCTGAATTAGCAACAAAAAAATGCTAGGCAATCTCTAATAAGGTAAACCGGAGAACAAAAATCCTTTTTTTTTCATTTGCCTCTGACAGTTTATTTTTTACTTTAACATAATTTCTCCCTCATTTAGTTGCAGTTTCCTGATCCTGGTTGGCCACAAAGTAGTCCTGCCAACTAAACTTGAGGTTGTTACCGCCAGCTAGTTACATTTACATGATCCTGATTCTACACAAAACAGGCCTGTCGACTCAGTTTGAGGTGGTAGCTAAGTCACGGCTGAGCCATGTCCTGTACACTTACCTGGTCCTGATTCTACACAAAACAGGCCTGCTGATCACTCGGTTTGAGGTGGTAGCTAAGTCACGGCTGAGCCATGTCCTGTACACTTACCTGGTCCTGGTTGGACACAAAGTAGTCCTGTCGACTCAGTTTAAGGTTGTAGTCACCAGTCAGTATCCTGGCCACCTGGGAGGATGTACTCTCCATGATAAGGGACGGGATGTCAGTCTCTCGGAGCTTGTAAAGGTCACGATCAACCTGACTCACACTCTCTCGTCTCTCTTGACATTGCTTACTGAAGTGGAAACAGCAAAACAAATCATTAATTTTACAGTAAACTGACATGCCATGGTCATCCAAATGTGTCAATAATAATACCCCCAGTAATTTGTATACTATAACCCTCAGTAAACAGCTTCATGACCATGATATAAAAAAGAGTTCTGACTTCAATGCAATGCTGTCTAGGCCTTGTAAACAAATACAGGGGTCTACCCATATTTCTGGCAATCTTAGCTAAGTTCGATATAATGAATTCCATTACATTAAAGGGGCTGGTCGGGGAAAACATTACAAATAAATGGGTCTAAATGCGTTCTCTGGCCTTCCAAACGTTATACCACGGCAATGTGATGGTCAAGTTCTGCTTGCAATGTCCAGTTTTGACCACTGAAATATCGGGGAAGCACCGCATAAATTTAGCGCAGAACTATTTATATATGTCATGTGGTTGTTTCGAAAGTGAGGCAGTGAAGATAACAACAATAGCTTGCCGTCATGTGCCATGTCGGACTCAACTAGCGGACAAGACAGCAATACTATACATAAATAATTGTTTTCAAAGGTCATGTATGATGCAAGTGTAGTATTCCTACCTATATGTTGTTGTTATATATAACGGTATTGATACCTCGTGCCTGTCATGACTTTTGCATGCATCATTTTCTTTCGCCGCGATGTTTACATTTGGCCTTGTTGATGACGCGCGTGTGGTAAAATTACATCACTGATCTGGGTCAATTGAGAGTTTTAGACTGTCAGGTGACGATTTAGGATTTCTTAAATATAATTATAATTTTTACTCTTAGGGAGTGAATTTCAGCAAAATTTGAATCGGTATATTTCATAAGAAGGTATTTTAAACATGTGTATGCCATTTTAGCAAATATGACATTTTTTTACCCGACCAGCCCCATAATACAAACTTGATTTTTTTTATTCCAAGAGATGAAATATGAGCACAGCATTATGATTAGGTATTCTTATCTGAACACATACAAACACTCCCAAAGCCTTCACAATTACCATACATTGAATCTCAAGAGATTTTTCCTTACTTAATATCATGAATGTTGGTTCCAAACTGTCCTGCTTGAATGGAATGTAGCAAATTCTCTGCACATTTCAGACACTGACTTGCAATTCTGTTCTTCATCAGGGCATCAATTCTTTTGGACTCGCTCTTGGGATATCTAATAATTATAAGTTTTTCTTATCAAATCAGATAAATTTTGATCAATTTGTGTATCCTGTAAAATAATAAATCAACCAGAACCTGAAGTTTCACTACTTCAAGCAAGTGTTTTTAGCACAATGAATATTGCATTTATGATGTGTAATATCAAAAACTGTGCTTATTGAAACAGACACTGTTACATACTCCCTCTAACCCCACAATAACAAGTTACAGCCAGATCAGCCAAGTTAAATTTATGTTACAAACGTTACCCAGCAATCAGCTACCACAGCAGCCATTTTATATCCTTAACTACTGATGTGTTATAACTATGTGACTAACGCCTTGGTTACTGCATTTCTGAAAAGCTTCAGCAACTTACAGGTCCTGTATCCGTGCCAGCTCCTTACACTCGCTGAGGTTGACTTCTTGTCGTTCTCCACGGATCAACAGACTGTCAGGGTCACTGATCTCCAAGATCTGGTACCTTGACACTTCTTCCTCTTCACCAGCTATCTCAGATATACCCTAAAAATACATCACACTTGGGCACATTAATCTAACACCTCAAGTGACAGTTCTTGTTCAAGACCACACTTAATAGACAGAGGCATCAGCAAACAAGTAGCAAGTACTCTTTTTTTTGTCTTGTAATACTTGGTAAGAAATTATACCACTTATCAACATAGTGAAAGCCTTACTAATAATCTGCCCATACCATGTCTAAGTGTTTTATATATATCTTGTAACCTCAGATATAGACTGTCTCATTTTCTTAAATATATCCTGTATAGGAGCAAATACCTTCTGATATAAACTACTAAGGTAAGCTACTATATACAAGAGAATATCAAGTGTTATTATTTCACATGTGATCTGCATATCAAAATACAGGTCTTTGAATCTGGGGATTGAAATCTCTTAGAATCTGACCTCTGTATACCTCAAAGAACCGCTTTTTGGTGAAAGTTGTTAGTTCCTGTGAGAACTTCTCCTCTACCTCCGCATATTCATCGAGGGAAAGCTGGGACAGGAAGTTGGGCGCGTTATTCTTTCCATCACACTTGTACAGATTGTGGAGCTCCTCGACAGACCGCACCAAATTCTCCAAGTTGGCATTCATCTGTATAATATCCACACATCATCTCAATAATAGTTGAAATTTTTCAAGATGCTGGACATAAACGACATTGACCATCTATTCATCATGTGAACAACACCAAGTCATTTACCAGGCACATTGTATTTTTGACTATCCAACAATCAACAGTAACATTTGGTATAATTCTACGTATATCTGTCCCGAGCTATTGGGATACATTCTTTGGTAAAATTTTCACCTTTTCCACACTCCATAATGCGGACGGATTTGTCATCACAGCAAATATTAGTAAAGAATGTGAAGGTTGAAATCAACTCTGGGTGAAGATGGATTTGACTGGTGAGGGCAAAACTTACGAAGTACAGTACACAGTATTACTATACACTAAATAGACAAATAATTTTTCAATATTTAGTAATCTGTAACAAGAGGCACAGAAGGCCTGTATCACTCACCTGAATATGTTTAAAATAATTGGTATGAAGTTAAGATATAGCACTCCACGGTAGGTGCTGTAAGTACAAATGAAATTTCAGAAAAATCCATCCAGTACTTGAAATATAGCGAGAACAAACTTCAAACAGAGCCCAACCCTATGCCCCTAGCGAGGTCATACCCACCAATTATACAAAATTGAGTCCCCTTGACCTAAGGATGCTCCAGACTAAATAAGGATAAAATCTCTTAATCCTGATGGTCGAAGAGGATTTTAAAGGTTTTACCTCTATTTCTCCTATTGGGCCCCGCCTCTCTGGCTCCAGAGGGGCCACACTCGCTGTTTATACGAAATCGAGTCCCTTTTGCCTAAGGATGCTCCAGACTAAATTAGGATAATATCCCTTAATCCCTAAAAGAAGGATTTTAAAGGTTTTACCTATATTTCCCTTTTGGGCCTCGCCCCTCAGGCTCTTGAGGGGCCAGACCCCCGGTTTATACAAAATTGGTTCCTCTTTACCCAAGGATGCTCCACACCAAATATATAGACCAAATTATCCTTTCATTCCTATAGAAGAAGAAGGATTTTAAAGAATAATTTGCTATGTTTCCCCTATTGGGCCCCGCTTCTCAGGCCCCTGGGGGGCCAGACCCACGGTTGATACAAAATTGGTTCCCCTTCATCCAAAGATGCTTCAGACCAAATATGAAACAAATCCTTTCATTCTTAAAGAAGAAGAAGGATTTAAAAGAAAAATTTGCTATGTTTCCCATATAAGGCCCTGCCCTTCATGCCCCTGGGGGGCCAGACCCATGGTTTATACAAAATTGGTTGCCCTTCACCCAAGGATGCTTCAGACCAAATATGGAACAAATCCTTTCATTCCTACAGAAGAAGGATTTTAAAGAATTTGCTATATTTCCCCTATTGGGCCCCGCCCATCAGCCCTCAGGGGGGCCAGACCCACTATTATACAACATTTGTTCCCCTTTTTCCAAGGATGCTTCAGACCAAATATGGACAAAATCCTTTCATTCCTACAGAAGAAGAAGGATTTTAAAGAATTTGTAATATTTCCCCTATTGGGCCCCGCCCCTCAGCCCCCAGGGGGCCAGACCCACTATTTATTAAAAAAAAATTCCCTTTCCCCAAGGATTCTTCTGACCAAATTTGGTCAATATCTGCTCAGTCGTTCATGGCTAGCAGCGTTTTAAAGGAAAAGTTGACGGGCGGACGGACGACGGACACTGCAGTATGGCATAAGCTCACCATGGTCCTTCGGACCAGGTGAGTTAAAAACATTTATGTATATATATATATATGACATTACCTGTGTATTATCTGTTCGGCACTGTTCCTTGTGGTGTTTGAACTGTGATTTGACCTTGACCTCTGTACTCCTGACCTTGGACAGTCGATGACTAAGACTTGTCTGATGTAAACTGATCAAAACAGTTAACTCTTTTTATTAAATTATCACATCATCAATCATTTAACTATAGCAGGTTAAATCCAGAAATTCATTTTACAGGAACTGCTTATGGCAAAGTAAGTGATAGTAATCAAGATTAATTTAAATTAACTTCCATTCCTCCCATACTTACATTTAGAATTATCATTAGCACTTTTAATTTACTCTTTAATACCAGCAACTTAGACAAATCTTAAACAAATCATTTTCCTAATTTTAATAACTATTTTGACAAACTAGTTCAATAACAAAATAAGATAATTTTCAAAATAACTGTACAGTTCTCATATGCAGTTGATCTAAACCTTTCATACAGATCTCACCTAAGTTTATTCCTCTTCTGAATGAGAACTTGCTTTCTCTTCTTCTTTACCTCAAGATCGTGTTCAGCTTGACTTATAACTTTCCTACAGGCAACAAAGGTTTGAAATACAGTCTCATAACATTTTCATACCTTTATCAGGATACATGTCTTCAATATTTTTACCCAAAAAGTCCATACTTTAAGTAAGGATTCAAATACAGTGTACTAGAATATGTTCTCTTAACACAGGATCAACTGCAGTTAATAACTTATAAAGGTACATGCCATTCAGTAATGGTTTAGTTTGACGTGTCTACTGCCTTATCTAGGTACACGTATTGTATGTGTTCCACATGTCTAACAACTGACCTCAGCTGATCGTCCGTGAGATCCTCCTCCTCCCCGACTGTGACAGATCGTAAAGCCTCCTCTAATTGACTCCCCTGTAAAACACCCTCCTCAGAATCTCTCAGTTTTTCATACCTGTGTATAAAGAGTTTTAAAATATCAATATTTGTGATATACAAACCGGTACTAGCCTAATTAAACATTAGTTCCTGAATGGGAAATAATATTTTATTTATATAAAATAAAAATCTTTCAAAAATGTAAGGTCCTTGCAATTTTGTAGCTTCAGTTTGATATGGAGATTGTGTCAAAGCAAATGTTTATTGAAGAAACACTACAATTTTGTTCTCATTGTCTTCACCCTATTACAGCCACTAATATAAGGGAGTGACTTCTAGTAAGTGTATTTTCATCATTCATACTGAACACCTGGCAAGTCTCGAGAAAATCTAGCTTCGCAATCCTGGCACAAATTTATACTGAAGGATTTGAAATTCAATAAATCAATATGAAGATGTCCTTTGTGTCATGATCTACATTATGTATATAAACTCAAATGTTAATATTTTTCTATTTCGGTTTTTGACAGTTGAAGAAATCATATGTCCCATCAGAAATATTTGATGATACTTAAGAGTAAATATACATGAAAAAGACTTTTAATGTTGGTATCGTATACCATGTACACCATGTGAGATTAATAGAATCTTTCATCCCCTTGGGGGTGAATGATTCTTTTTCTCTTACCCTGTTCTCCAATATGCATTGTGTATCATATATACACAATGTAATGTTAACGTTACAGGCTAAATTCAGGGTTGACGTGACGTTATTATATTGTTGAAGTGGCGTCATACCATTGTTATGAATAGGGGAATCCCCCGTCTCAACCCTAGGGTGAGACAAGGAAATCTCACACCAGTAAAAGTCAGATACACCTGGCTGTCCAGGGTAAGAGAAATATATATCCCTAAGCAAGACCTCATTTCTAAGCAGTGGATCTAACTTACTCCTGTATGTCTTTAGGATGGAGTATGTTGGTAGTGCCGACATTATTACAGAACCAGTCGAGGAAGGAGACCACCCCGTCCCCCTCAAACATCCATTCAAAGCTTTGGGGATCCAGGCTCTCAGCTTTGGGATAGCCAAGCTGGACTAGCGTGTCAACAAACTGGCGTCCACTCATGATTACCTCCTAAAGATCTTGAGCACTTCCTTAAGATTTGCAATCAATCCACCTCCTTGTCAAGGGTTTCTGGAATAAAAAGGTAGACCATGAATAACTTTTTATAAGGAGTAGTGCTGACTGTAATACTAATATTAATACCCCGCCTCCTCTGTCCCGGCTGGGTATTAAATTGATCCCATGCCTTGTCATATAGCAAGCCTGGTGTGAATCACAATGGGACAATTTTAGAATTAATTGACAGCACATTGGTACGCATCCATAAATAGGTTTGTAATATGAACTATTTCTGTTGATCTCCTACATTACTTTTAAAACTCTGCCTCAAATGGCTTTAAATTATCAAGTTAATGAAGCAAGGGCAATCAAAATCTGAATATACTGCCATGTAGTAATACTATATTTGGTCATGCAGGCCATATATAGAAACGGGTAATTATAAGGATAACATCACGCGTGATCTGTCATGGCGGTCGTTTCCAAATTCTTTTTGCGGACTTGGCTAATGTTGACAGATGAGAGTAGCACTACAGGGAGAAACATCCAGAGAAGTAACCGCTGACTCCGGGGTACCACAAGGGACAGTGCTCGGGCCACTATTATTCCTGTGCCATATAAATGACCTACCAGAAATTGTAACCTCTAGCATACATCTGTTTGCCGACAACTGTTTGATATACAGACAAATAAACCAATACAGTGACCACCAACTACTACAGGACGACCTAAACAACCTGGAAAAATGGGCTAACCTATGGGGAACGAAATTCAACACCAAAAAATGCTACGGAATGAACATCAAAGAAAAAAGTCACAGATTCTACACTCTAAATGGACATACCTTGGAACAAGTGAAAAATAATCCATGGCTACCTTGGACTAACAATTTCAGACGACCTCAAATGGAACACCCACATACTAAAAATAGCAAGGAATATCAGTTTGACCCTTGGCTTTCTCAAAAGAAACCTAAAACATTGCCCATCATCTTGCAAGAAAACAGCATATATATCCCTTGTACAATCCATCCTTGAATACGGCGCCATTATTTGGGACCCATATACCAAAAATGAAACTGATAAACTGGAAAGAATACAGCCAGATTCATTTCAAATGACAAGTCCAGGGAAGATGGATGTATCGCAAGAATGCTGGAGAAACTCGAACTACCAACACTCCAGGTCAGGCGAGCACAACAGAGGGTCACATTTATGTATAAGGTGGTTGAGGGGTTGATACCAGCTATACCTCCAGCTGATCATCTAACAAAAAAGAGACCAAAAAGGAACATCAAGGCCAGAAACTTTTCGGACTATATATCCAACAAGAGATCCCAGAGTGATCTTGGCGCCCACCTTTGCACCATCTTCATTAGTTCTTTGTCAGTTCGATCTTTTCTCTTCTTTCCTCTAAACTGTTTGATCGAGTCATGTTAACAGTAAATGCACCTTGAGGTAACTTTTGATCTAAACTTAATACTGATGTGTATGAAAGCCAACCTTCAAAGTGAGTTTGTCATTTCGCATATTTACTAGTACAGTACTTAATGTGAAAGAAATAGAATCGATCATTGCAATATGAGAAAGATCTGTTTATTTCTTCTTTTAATCCATTTTGTTTTTATGATCAGTCTCAGAATATAACATACACAACGAGGGATCAAGGGGAACCTACATTTAAAATTTGAGAAAGATCCCTCCCGTACTTCCTGAGAAATAGCAATAACAAACTTTCACTATCAAAATCCAAGATGGCTGCCTGTCGGCCATGATGTTTATCCTATCAGTCTCTAAAATTGACCTGCACAGCTAGGACCAAGGGGAACCTACATATAAAATTTTGAATAGCCCACCATCTGGTAGAAACATCGGTAATAAATACCTCTAAATCCTATACAGTATCAAAGTACAGCTGTGATCAATACAAGAACTCTAAATCTTATACAGTACCAAAGTACAGCTGTGATCAATACAAGAACTCATTTTTTGTACTCGCAGTCAGAGAGTGGAACCATCTGGAAGAGTACTTGTGCCCCTAACTTTGGAGGCCTTTAAGATTGCTATAGCGCAACACAACTCTCTAACTGAAGTGCTCTCTCTCTCCCGTTGTATAAAAACCGGAACCGGTTACTACAGCGTAAAGATAGATACATAATGTTGATAAAGACTTTTTTTTATTAGTAATGATTTGTAATGTCCAACAATTATGTAGTATTTTGATAACATTATCTCATATGAAGCCAAAATTATATGTAATTTTACACAAGTTACAGACTTTTGATTTTGTTCCATTAGATGACATTGGAAGACGCTAAGTAGTTCTGACTATGCAATATATCAAAAATGTCTCGTCATGATCAGAAGCTACGTAATCGTATATACGGACAACTTTTAACGGCCTTGTGTTGAAGCCACGCCACACTAGATTTCCTGTGAGTTGATGTTGTTTTTCGCCCTTCAAAGTATTCCAGTAAATGTAAATATCGCAGCTATGCTGACTGCCGACATGTTCAGAGTTGAAGTTTGTTAAAGTGTATTATTTTAAACAATACTGTCGATTTGTTTTTTCCAAAATCTCCCTTACAGTGCATAGTGCATTATTCTTTAAACATGAAATCAAAAGTTCTTTATATCGATCATCATCCTTTTCCATATAATGTACACATACTTATCCTTTACTTAGTTACTGAGAAGTTATCACATTTATAAACACTCTGCCTATTCGAGTATTTTTAGTGCGCATGCAGATAACTTAATTTTAAGCGACAAAGGTATATGATCAACAATACTTTGAAATAGACACTTGATTATGTAACAAATGTCATCATTCTAATAATTGTCTTGTCATTGGGAGGGGTAACGCAGTGGGTAACTACAGTTACTGTAACAGTGTATATCTCGCTCTCCACTCCGGTAAAATTTACCTGTCATGATTCAACGGGACCGTTGTATAGCTCCCGAGTACGTGGAATAATTGCTGCAAAGATTAAATGTTACGATATTTGACTCAAACATGCTGGCAATATGAAAGTTTTAAGAAAAGTTATGAGCTCTGCAAAATCTTGCATTTGATGCTCCCGCGGCAGTCACGTTTACCAATTTTGATTGGTCACAATAAAAACGAAACGAAACATTGAACATAGTGTGAACTATGCTTTCGAAATAAATATTTTATATATATGTTTTTATTTCGACGATTATGTTATCTCCAGGTCTATTTTAATTTCAACACTAATCTTTAAAGGGACCCGCTTTAAAGTTTGAACGTTTCCAAATTGACATAATCCGGAATATAGTGTACCCGATTGAACTCTAAAATTGTTTTGTAGAAATCACTTCCGTTCATTTGAAAATGGGTCAAAATGAAAAAGGCGGCATAATCAAACAGGGCAAAAGAAGTGCAACTCTTTGAGTAATCGACCTTATGTCTTAAGAATGGGAAAACCGGTAAACTGATCATGTCATTTTGTCTGTTTTGAAATACGAATATCAGTAAATTGTCCTCAAAAGTAGGAGACGTGCATGGTCAACATACGAAAATGAAAGAAATGTCAACAAATGTCGGAAATCTTACACAAAAAGTCATGACAATGCGTTTGCTACTGCAATTGACGGCAATCGATCACTGGCTAATTTTCTTTTTTATGTTCAAGGCTCATTTATCGTCAGTATTATGAAAGCATATCGTTCAATAACTCGTTTTCGGAGTTCACAGGTTCGCCAGATCGTCCTCCCCCCTCCCACGCCGCAGGTGCACAAATAAAACACCTACAAATTACTGTAGCGCCAGCACCTTTGTAAACAGAGTAAGACTAACACTATATTACGCCGGGTCATGTCATATCAACTTGGTAACACACTCGTACTTTACACATTTAGTAAAGTTTACTAAAATATATTAAAAAAAATCTTGTCGTCAGAAGCTACGTTATCGCAGCTATGTATACTGAAGTGCTTTTTGCCTTATTCTACTTTTCACAAAGCAAATACTACATTAACCCAAAATATATGATATCATATGATCTGTAGCTCGAATGAACTGTTCCTTTTATCTTTTGATGGGGTAAAACTCTGTTAGGTTTAAGGTAAACTAGTGTAACAGGAGAGGGAAAATGCACGGCCAGATTGGGGTTCGAATCCAGGACCTTCCGAACTGTTTGACGGACGCTCTACCAATTGAGCTGTCTGGTTGCCAACGATCGACCCAGTCCAGTTCCGTTACATTCCTCCCTCTAAGTCTTTGCCCCCGAAGACACAACTGTTTACAACCCAGGTTCGGGTATATACCAGATGCTTGAAACAAGGGTTGTCACAGGCTGCTGCACCACTGTAACAGGACAGGAAAAATGCAAGGCTAGACCTGGGTTCAAAACAGGGTCCGTCCAAACTAGCCAGACGTACTACCAATATACCATTGCGATTGTATCGATTAATGATTTGTGCTTTGGAAAACAGAATATTCTTGAATTACATAGTCTTCTCTTTCTTAATTCAACTGATGTTTACTTTGCAGAAGAAGAAGAAGGATTTCTTTGTCAATCCATTGAAAAACAAGAACATAGGATGGTATGTATACATGTACAATGTATGAACTAAATATAAACACAATTGACAAAGTTTGAAAATTACTATAATGTGTTGTGATGTGTTTATTTTTTTTATCTGATATGTTCAATCTAAAAATTGGCTATGTGTAATTTGATACTGCTGCAAGTATGTATGGTGTCAAATTGGGGTAATTTATCTGATTGGTTTAACTATCAATTGTAATGATATATATTCCAAAGAACAGTTTCTATATTTTAAGGTCACCTGAGCTTTGTTCAAGTGACCTTAATATTCTGATCGCTTTCCGTCCGTCATCGTCCGTTAACTTTTTGCATTTTCGACTTCTTCTCAAGAACCAGTGGATGGATTTTTTCAAACTTGGTCAGAATCATCCTTGGTAGATGCGTTAGCAAAATTGTAAAATTGGGATTCCTATTCAAACCCCTGGGGCCAGTGCGGGACCCCAAAGGGAAAATTAACCAATATTTCAAAAATCTTCTTCTCCAGACCCCCAAGCCATCCATTCTCCCTTGGGGAGGGGGTAAAGTTTACTATAGTTTATATAGGGAAATAACACTTTTGGGTATATTTTGACAATTTTCCGTAGGTAATTATTCTTACTTTGTGAGAACTGAATTATCCTTGGAGGAAGATGGTTTCCAAATTGTAAAATTGGGATTCATACACAAACCCTAGGGGCCAGGGCGGGGCCCGAAAGGGAAAATTAAACATATTTCAAAAATCTTTTTCTCCTGTCTCAGAGGTACTAGTAATTTTCTTTGTATGGATGGAACGGTCATCAGGAGCTTTGTTCAGATTGTAAATTTTAGGACCCCAAGCCATCCGTTCTCCTTTGGGGAGGGGGTAAAGTTTACTATAGTTTATAGGGAAATAACACTTTTGGGTACATTTTATCCATTTTCAGCAGAAAAATATTCAAACTTGGTCAGAATCATCTTTGGTGGATGAGGGTATGACATTGTATAATTGGGATTCCTGCCCCATTCCCTGGGGCTAGGGTGGGGCCCCAAAAGGAAAATTTACCAATATTTCAAAATTCTCATCCTTTGATGACATGACAAGTATTGTATTTCACTTAGTTTACATGCTGATTTCCACATCACATCTAAACAATAAAATAAAGCTACCAGTACCTATGATATAACTCAGGTGACCACTACCAGTACCTATGATATAACTCAGGTGATTGCTAAGCCCCTTGGGCCTCTTGTTTCTGAAGGTGATTATAATTTTTATGTTATTGCAATAAATTTCTGATGTGAATTCCTGTAAGAACTCACAAGGAACGTTTACAGCTACTCGGCTGTTATAAATTTTGACCTTATATCCATTTCTACTATGTTCAATGTTTTGTTGTAGGAGATCAGGACAAGACCTTCTTGCAGGAAAAGTCATCAGAGTTAATGAACAAGGATTTGAAAACTTAGAGGATTACTATTCAGAATCAGGTAATGATTTTTGTGAAGTTTTCAGTCAAAGCTGTACCGTTTTATGTTGTACATAATGTACTTCCATTAGTGGTTCTTTTGTGTCAGTACTAAAACTATATACACAGCAAAATCTTAATGTTTAATACACAGTAGAAATATAGCATACATGTCTATATATTTTTTGGTAATTCCTCACCAGGAAGCACAAAAACGGATTTGACTAACTTTTAAACCACTCACAACATATCTTTACATTTCTATTATTAAATCAGGACAATATATTACATTAGTTGGCCAAACAAAATTATACATCTGTAGGGTAACAACAACAACAAAACTGGGTAGATAGGCACTTATTTTTCAGATATTTTTTCAAACAGTTCTTGTCAAAAAAATGAACATAAAATCTTTATTGACAGAACATTGTACTTGCAATTAGATTGCAAATGCAACCCTAAACTTATATCTTTTAATTGTCCATAGTTTGAAATAAGATATTCAATACATATTTATGTAATATTGTTTTTAAAAACCTTATTTAATGCAACTTCACATTTGGTTGAAGTATTGAAAATGACTTGTTAGCAGATGATCAACTTTGTGTGTGTAGGTAAATTTTGTACAGAACTATATTATTATTGATAAAATTACCATTCATATGCATAAAGCCAGATATTTCTTTTTTTTCAACTTGCAGATGCTGATTTTACACAAGATTTGACAGCCAATATTTCTAGGGTGACCAGAAATTCCAAGGAGAATAAGTATAATAAGTCCATCGCTGAGAACCATGATGCAGAAAATGATGCTCTGCCACAGAATTCTAGATTTGAATCCAGCCAGACTGGGGTCAGTATTGAAAAACAGGCCATCTGCAGGCAACGTTTACCACTGAAATCGTATAGTGTAATGCATGACCCTAGTCAAATTAGAATGGAAAACCACAAAACTTTTGAATATAATAATTAAGTTTGATTTGCAATGCAGTTTTGTTTTTATTTTTAAGCTCATTTTTTGCTGTAACTAAAATTTTCCATACTCTGGTAGATGCTTTACAACATTAAGGACTTCCCACCCTTCGTAATACACATGCTTTTTTTGTCATATTTTCGTGTCGTCATTTCCGTATTGCGTATCGGGCATTCCATTATCGTAGTGTAAATTAAAGTAACACCAGGTAAACAATAGTACACGTGCGTGACGATGATATGTCAACACCCGATATTGAGACTTACTTGGAAATAAAGCGTATGATACAAAGACATAAATTAACTCACGGGAAGACTTTGACATACGATCAGACGACTTCAGGAAGGTCGTTTATGAGGGGCATTGAATGCAGACTGATGTGCTTTGTTTACACACCTGTACATTTCATGTGTAACACTAGTTCACAAGCTCAGGGTCACTACAATTTTTGTTGTCGAGCGAGTTACGCTCTGTAAGGTAAATCATTTCACAAATGCTATAACAATAGCTCTGTGAAAATAGTGTTTTATAAAATATCAAGATCCCTATAAAATGCTACCATGCGATAGCCTATGGTTACATATGTACCTGACATGTAAATATTCCAGGCGTAAGCGGGCTATTGAATGATGTCCAGAGTGTACGTGATTGAGAGTAATTTTGTTCCATAAAAGAGAAGTAAATTGACAGTTTCAATATCATAAATTAATTTGTTTCCGTCATTTTTGGTAAAGTAAAGAAAATAACTCATTGTATAAATTCTATCCCTCTACAAAATGTTCCGGTTTTTTCAAGGAAGACAACTCTCATCAGGATCAAAATGATTGTAAAATGTAAAATAAATGAATTATTAAAGCTTTGTGTATATTTAGTTCAATATATCACTCTTTTTGTATTAAACTATGTGTCCTGTTTGCTTTTAGCTTGTATATAACTACTTTTATCCATACAATTTCAATAAAAAACACTTTGTGTTTAAGTTATTTTATGATAAATACAATATTTGTAGGGTTGATTAGCAATGTTTCTTTTCAATTGTATTGTTGTAATAGTTTTGAACAATACCACACACCCGAAAATTGTGAAAGTGATAAATTGGACAAAAATTCAATTTTTAGTTCACCTGCTACTTTCAAGGTCACAGCGTTCAAATATGTCAAACAGTTCAAACAGCTTCTTCTGAAGAATTAAAAGGCATAGAATTATAATATTTGGCTGGTGACTTCCTGGGATAGAGCTCACCAAAGTTTGCGAATGAAAATGACCTCAACCTACTTTAGAGATCACAGAGGTCAACAACATTTTAATGGATTTGTTCTTGAGAACTAAAAGGAATGGATTCATAAGATTTGGCTGGTAGCTTTTTGGAATAGAGCTAACCAATTTGAGAAGGAAAATGACATTGACCTACTTACAAGATAACAGGGAAAAATATGTCTATCAACTTCTGAAGAAGAATCAAAAAGCCTAGAATTTTATGATAATATTTTGCTGGTAGTTTCAACAGATGGAGCCAACAAAGTTTGCGAGGGAAATATTTTTAGTGCAATATAATATTTAATGAGAATATTTTGCTATGACTGCTTAAATATTCAGGTGAGCGATACAGGCCCTCTTGGGCCTCTTGTTCAGTATTTTTTACAAAAAAAATTCCCAGTTTATCGGAATGCTTAGATTGTCATAAAATCATCTCTACATGGTGACCCAACCATTATGTGAAACTTTCATTGCATTCTACTGGTTAATTGCAAAAGGGTGGAGTCTCCTTAAGCAAGTCCAAGAAATAAAAATTGGTTTTAGATGCTTTAATAAGCCATAAATTTAAAGACAATTGAAATTCACAAAAGATGAAGAAAAAACAGTGACATTAGTTGACATAAATCTCAATGTTGCCACCCAATACATATCTCTCTCTTCCTCAAACAGCCAATGGGATCAAGTCAGTCCTCAAATATGTTTGCCTGGCTTAAGAACAAAAACATTGGAAGGTATGTACAGAGGATATATTGTTTGGAAGTGTAATTTTAAGTTGGAAATGATATAAGATGCATTATAAGTGTGTTTCTGTGTTCCTAGGATATTCATTATGACAATGTATTATCAGAGATAAATCTAGATATTTGTATCAGGTACCCTTTTTTTGAAAATAAAGGCAAATTTTGCAGTTTGAACAATGCAAAAATACTCAAACAGATAGACTAATGATTGTTTTATTGATCAAATATTACTGACAGTGTTTTCATGGACATGTTATAAAATTGTTGCATACATTTTTGGGTAAGTTTAGGAAAGGGGAAAATATGGCAATCATATTTTGAGGGGTATTGACCTATTATTGAATGGTCCTAAGATCAGTTTTTATAATAGCCTGATTACTGTAGGAATTTGTTGGAAATTGAAAGTAAAGGCTTAATACTGCCACAGTGTGTGATGCCAGGACGAGACTAACGGGAGACTGATGTTTCTATTTTACCAACAGGAGGACAGGGAAGGATGTTCTGGCAGGGAAGGTGATCACTAAAAACAGTCAGGGATTTGACAATATTGAGGACTACTTTTCTGAATCCTCCGGTAAGTATCTCCAGACTGTATTGTACTTTATAATAATATTCAAGCAAACAAGGAAATTAATAATGTGTATAAAAAAATATTTTTGTTTTGTTTATTTGTGCATGGAAATCAACTGGACTCTGTTTCATGGGTTACATATTTTTGTTCTGAGTGTATTTTATTTGAAGTCCACAAAAGTGAATCTAAGTTTACTTGGTAAACTTAGTAAAAGGAAGATATTTCCAACCCTTCTCAGCAAAATATAAGACTTTGATGTCAAGAGGTATAGAAATGGATAAGAAAGTTCCAACCAAGGGTTTTTCTGAAGTAAAACCAAAGACTTGAATAGTGTTTTTTTCCCCAGTATGGCATTCCATCTTCCAAGGGTGGGTGTTCCTTATCTTACTTACCTTGACATGAAAGAGTGCTTTTCTCTCATTTCAATTGCAATGATTAGATCAGAATCCAAGAAAAGGCATTTTGACTGGCTTCCATTTTGAAAGTATCAACTGTTCCCTTGAGCTTTTTAGATAAAAAATACAAAACAAAAAACTGGTCAGCAGGATTTGGCTTATTCCAGTATGTGCATAAAATTGATGCCATCTTTTGTTACATTTAATACATTATTTTAGGTCTTGGTTTTGTTATGTTTGCAGTTTTCTCATCATAGATTTCAAAAAGATTTTCTCTAGTTTGTGATGTCACATCAATGTTGTCTCATCGTTACAGGCGTAAAATTGATTGTGAGATAAAAAATAACATTCACATTCCTTTCTTGCCCGTAACTGTTCTATCAGACTCACACAGGAATGAGAGAATATCAGATGATTTAATCTTACCTCTTGAGCAATTGAACTCAAATGAAAATCACGAGTTTGAAGGGCTTGATGTCAATAAAGACTCAATGCTTACATTATCATCTGAATCATTATATTTTATGTAGATCATGTAAAAAAATCCCTATTGTCTATAAGTTTGATGGAGTTTGAAAATCATGTTTACAATTACCATGTAGAACAATTCTCTGCCTTTGTATTTAAACCCAAAAAGGCCAAACACGAGACAACAGGAAAGACTAAAGAGCAATATCATAAGTAAGAAACAAACCTGTTGTTTTTGTCCTAATGACATACCAGTATTGGTCTGTTACTGCCATGAAGTAAGGGTTAGTTTATATTATCCCTCGTTGTTGGTTTTAGGTTTTAAATATTTTGTCTTTGATTTTTCTCAGATGCAGAGAGTATGTTTATGTCCAAGAGCTGTATAAGTGTAGGTTTAGATAACACCGATGTTGTCTCTGAGAAGTCTGACTCTTGCCACTCTGTCAGCCAGGTAAGTTCAAGTGTAGGTTTAGATAACACCGATGTTGTCACAGAGAAGTCTGACTCTTGCCACTCTGTCAGCCAGGTAAGTTTAAGTGTAGGTTTAGATAACACCGATGTTGTCACAGAGAAGTCTGACTCTTGCCACTCTGTCAGCCAGGTAAGTATAAGTGTAGGTTTAGATAACGCCGATGTTGTCTCGGAGAAGTCGGACTCTTGCCACTCTGTCAGCCAGGTAAGTTTAAGTGAAGGTTTAGATAACACCAATGTTGTCTCAGAGAAGTTTTACTCTTGCCACTTTATCAGCCAGGTAAGTTTAAGTGTAAGTTTAAATAACCCAATGTTGCTCGGAGAAGTCTGACTCTTGCCACTCTGTCAGCCAGGTAAGTTTAAGTGGTGGTTTAGATAACACCATGTTGTCTCAGAAAAGTCTGACTCTTGCCACTTTATCAGCCAGGTAAGTTTAAGTGTAAGTTTAAATAACCCAATGTTGTCTCGGAGAAGTCTGACTCTTGCCAGCCAGGTAAGTTTTCTTTTAATTCAGCAAACTCCTATCTCGCATGACATTCAATGTTATGTCACAATAAAGACTATTATGACGTGTTTTACAGTAAGATATTTTAATTTTAATTTTTAACTAGTCCACTTCCAGGAGAACCAATACCTTTTATCTTTTAGTTTTATATAACATTTGAAAAGATTTTGGGAAAACGTTCTGTATATAAATGACTATTTAAGACTGGAAATATACACCTGCTACAGTTTATTTTTCTCTCTGAAAGATGGCAGTTTTCTCTCATACAGACAGACTTCTATTTGTCTTTTGTAGATATCCAACAGGATTGTTCAATTTTGTACTAATTATTCTTGTAGATATCTCAAGCAACGACTGATGGTCAAGCTTCTAATGACAGGTAATTAGTCCAGCAGAACTTATCAACATCTTTGTACCATGTTAATTCAGAAACTGATTGCTGGACCTAATTATCCAGTCTTAAATAATCTGTCAAAGTTCAATCTAAAGATTGAAGGACATATTGTTCTTTGATGCATTCGTCTTTTTGTCACATTCATTTGGGAGATGAGAGACAGTATTGCAATTTCATATACTCATTCATACTGAAGACATAAGTAATATATATATGCGAAACTTAACAAGAGGTGTAACAATTTAGTTAATGAGTTTTATTTACTCTCCTAGTGAAGACAGCTGCCCTACCCCTAGGCCTCAGCCATTGCCCCCTACTGCCAGCCTAGCTACTCCTATCCTTGGTAAGGAGATTTACCAGTATTTTGTTTCAGTATCATTAATTTGAGACAGGGATTGGTAAAAGAAACCATTAAAGGAATCTGTTCTATTAAATCAGAACCTTCATTAATGTTTCATTGATGACTTATATGTAAATTTACATTAGAGACACAGACTTCAGCAACAGTTGATTGAAAACATCTTTGTATATTAAACTGAGGCCATTTGTTCTGACTTCTTGGTACAAATGACTTCTACAGCAATTACCAGGATTAAATCTCTTTTTATTGTTATTATTATTTCTTAGTGGAGAAATTGGTGTTTACCTTATATATTTAGGTTCTGTTGATTGTGATTGTGTAGGAAACCAAATATTTCTTTGTACAGAATTATCTTTTTCTTATACAGAAGCATCTGAAGGGGAGGAGGACACACCTACAAACAAACTGCACAATAGTTCTGTCCAGAATGAGTCCTGTAGTGGAAAAGATGGAGAGATATCCTCTCACAAGGAGGTAAAGCGTCAGAGCAGAGGGAGTTTGAAAAACCAGGACATGTCCTCCGACGATGAAGAGGTTCAATTTAAATCCACAAATACTGGAGAGACATCAGAGGTAATGGCAATGTCTGAACAAACAGCAGAGGTGACTGCTGCTGCAGATAAGACTTCAGAAGACACAGCTGTCACTGAAAAGTTGACAGAAGACATAGCTGTCACTGAAAAGTTGACAGAAGACATAGCTGTCACTGAAAAGTTGACAGAAGACATAGCTGTCATTGAAAAGTTGACGGAGGTCACTGATGTCATTGAAAAGGTGACAGATGTCACTGAAAAGGTGACAGAGGTCACTGCTGTCACTGAAAAGTTGGCAGAGGTCACTGCTGTCACTGAAAAGTTGGCAGAGACAACCACAGTTGAGGACAAGACATCAGAGGTCACAGCCTTAATGGGAAAGTCATCAAAGAGTTATATCAGCAACACAATTAACATTGGAGGAAATGTGACAGGCTCCCTTACTAAGTCAGACGACCCAAGTATGGAGACAACAGGACCAATTCCCAGCTTCAGAACACGTAAAAAGTGGGTAAACTGTCACTTCTCATTTTCATAGTTTATCTAGGCTCACTATATAATCAAATGTGGTCATTTCAAATTCAGAAAACTTGAATGCCACATTTAATTGGATATCTTGATAGTGTCGCTGACTTTCCGTCTCTATGACGCCTGTCCTATTTTTCCACCTCTTTATCTTTAAAGGTAAAATATCTTGGCTGACTCCAACCCGATAATGTGAAAATTGTTTGTGTTGATGTGCAGATTTTGTTGGGATATTATTATCATATTAAATATTGTAAATATAAAATTACTCAAATTAAAACACAACTAAAAACTTGTGTTTGAAAGAAAGATTCATATCTATTTCCAACCATAAGATCAATTTTTATCTATTCATTATGTCAAGAATCATTGTCAGTGTTTTAACTTGTTTAAAATGCTACTGTGATGACATTAATCAGTATACAGAAGTAATGACGGGGTACTATTTCCTGACTAATTATTTGTCCGTTTGGCATCATGTGACAGTCTATAAAAAGTTATATTAACCCAAGAAGTTTATATTGTGTGCATTGTGAGTGACACTTTTTAATGGAGAGAGTGATGTTACTTTTGTTAGTTTGCTGTATCAACGCTATTTAATGGAGAGAGTGATGTTGGTTGCCTGTATCAATACTATTTTATGGAAAGAGCGATGTTGGTTGCCTGTATCAATACTATTTAATGGAGAGAGTGATGTAAGTTGCCTGTATCAGTACTATTTAATGGAGAGGGTGATGTTGGTTGCCTGTATCAATACTATTTAATGGAGAGAGGGATGTAAGTTGCCTGTATCAGTACTATTTAACGGAGAGGGTGATGTTGGTTGCCTGTATCAATACCATTTAATGGAGAGGGTGATGGTGGTTTGATGTATCAATACTATTTAATGGAGAGAGTGATGTGTGTTGCCTGTATCAATACTATTTAATGGAGAGGGTGATGGTGGTTTGGTGTATCAATACTATTTAATGGAGAGAGTGATGTAAGCTGCCTGTATCAGTACTATTTAATGGAGAGGGGGATGTTGGTTGCCTGTATCAATACTATTTAATAAAGAGAGTGATGTTGGTTGCCTGTATCAATACTATTTAATGGAGAGTGTGATGGTGGTTGCCTGTATCAATACTATTTAATGGAGAGGGTGATGGTGGTTTGATATATCAATACTATTTAATGGAGAGAGTGGTGTTGGTTGCCTGTATCAATACTATTTAATAGAGAGGGTGATGTTGGTTGCCTGTATCAATACCATTTAATGGAGAGGGTGATGGTGGTTTGATGTATCAATACTATTTAATGGAGAGAGTGATGTTGGTTGCCTGTATCAATACTATTTAATAAAGAGAGTGATGTTGGTTGCCTGTATCAATACTATTTAATGGAGAGAGTGATGTTGGTTGCCTGTATCAATACTATTTAATGGAGATAGTGATGGTAGTTGCCTGTATCAATACTATTTAATGGAGAGAGTGATGTGTGTTGCCTGTATCAATACTATTTAATGGAGAGTGTGATGTTGGTTGCCTGTATCAATACTATTTAATGGAAAGAGTGATGGTGGTTGCCTGTATCAATACTATTTAATGGAGAGAGTGATGGTGGTTGCTTGTATCAATACTATTTAATGGAGAGAGTGATGTTGGTTGCTTGTATCAATACTATTTAATAGAGAGGGTGATGTTGGTTGCCTGTATCAATACTATTTAATGGAGAGGGTGATGATAGCCGCCTGTATCAATACTATTTTAATGATACCTAGGCGCTACCACTTCCTGCTGACTAAAATGTGATGTTAAATGGACCAGTTTGGTGTCAAGAAAAAATATAGACTAACAGTAGAATGAAAAACAATAACACTATTGGAGCCTTTTGCATTTCTCTATTATCCATATAATTTTATCGATCTGAGAAAGTAAACACACTGCCATGCTCACAGTAAGGACAAATGGGAGGATTGAGCTTCCGTGTAGTAAACATTACTTGATCTTGGACTTTATCCTCAGTGGTAGATATTTTTCTCTAGTTGATAACAGTATGATAATGATATATGACTACAACAGAAGGCGACAATGGGAGAGTATCACATATGTAAATCAATGGCAGACGTAAAAGTATTTCTGTTGTAGTATCAAACTATCTAAATGGGTAACCCTCTCTTGTTTATAACAATTAACACATCTGTTTTTCCTTGCCAGATTATCATTCTCAGCCCTGGAGAAGAGCTTGATGATAAAAGAGAACAAGAAAAAGAAACGGTAAATAAACCTATACCACCAATGTATTTCTTTCAAGCTTAAGTATATCATCAGGGGGAAAATGTAATGCAAAACTCATGTGGTTTCCCACTCATGTAAGATTTTGAGCTAAAAGAATATTTTCTACTTATTTGTAAATACATAGCACCTACAATTAACCAGGATAAGATTGAGGGACAGTGTTCCCTTCCAGCTTTAGAGAAAAGTAGAATACCATTTTGCAGTATATGACAGCCCTTTCACAATGCAACAGAAATGTCTGGGTATCATTTGGATGTATATAGAGTGTAGCTTTACTGCTGTATATGACAGCCCTTTCACAGTAGAACAGAAAGGTCTGGGTATCATTTGGATGTATATAGAGTGTAGCTTTACTGCTGTATATGACAGCCCTTTCACAGTACAACAGAAAGGTCTGGGTATCATTTGGATGTCTATAGAGTGTAGCTTTACTGCTGTATATGACAGCCCTTTCACAGTACAACAGAAAGGTCTGGGTATCATTTGGATGTATATAGAGTGTGGCTTTACTGCTGTATATGACGAGCCTATCACAGTACAACAGAAATGTCTGGGTATCATTTGGATGTTTATAGAGTGTAGCTTTACTGCTGTATATGACGCCCTATCACAGAACAACAGAAAGGTCTGGTTATCATTTGGATGTATATAGAGTGTAGCTTTACTGCTGTATATGACGCCCTATCACAGTACAACAGAAAGGTCTGGTTATCATTTGGATGTATATAGAGTGTAGCTTTAATGCTGTATATGACGAGCCTATCACAGTACAACAGAAAGGTCTGGGTATCATTTGGATGTCTATAGAGTGTAGCTTTACTGCTTTATATGAGGAGCCTATCACAGTACAACAGAAATGGCGGGGGATCATTTGGATGTATATAGAGTGTAGCCTTACTGCTTTATATGACGAGCCTATCACAGTACAACAGAAATGGCGGGGTATCATTTGGATGTATATAGAGTGTAGATTTACTGCTTTATATGACGCTATCACAGTACAACAGAAAGGTCTGGGTATCTTTTGGATGTATATAGAGTGTAGCTTTACTGCTGTACATGACGAGCCTATCACAGTACAACAGAAAGGTCTGGGTATCATTTGGTTGTATATAGAGTGTAGCCTTACTGCTGTATATGACGATCCTATCACAGTACAACAGAAAGGTCTGGGTATCATTTGAATGTCTATAGAGTGTAGCTTTACTGCTGTATATGACAGCCCTTTCACAGTACAACAGAAAGGTCTGGGTATCATTTGGATGTATTTATTTAGAGTGTAGCTTTACTGCTGTATATGACGAGCCTATCATAGTACAACAGAAAGGTCTGGGTATCATTTGGTTGTATTTATTTAGAGTGTAGCTTTACTGCTGTATATGACGAGCCTATCATAGTACAACAGAAAGGTCTGGGTATCATTTGGATGTATAAAGAGTGTAGCTTTACTGCTGTATATGACGAGCCTATCATAGTACAACAGAAAGGTCTGGGTATCATTTGGTTGTATATAGAGTGTAGCCTTACTGCTGTATATGACGCTATCACAGTACAACAGAAATGTCGGGGTATCATTTGGATGTCTATAGAGTGTAGCTTTACTGCTGTATATGACCACCCTATCACAGTACAACAGAAATGTCGGGGTATTATTTGGATGTATATAGAGTGTAGCTTTACTGCTTTATATGACGCTATCACAGTACAACAGAAAGGTCTGGGTATCATTTGGATGTATAAAGAGTGTAGCTTTACTGCTGTATATGACGAGCCTATCATAGTACAACAGAAAGGTCTGGGTATCATTTGGATGTAATATAGAGTGTAGCTTTACTGCTGTGTATGACGAGCCTATCACAGTACAACAGAAATGTCTGGGTATCATTTGGATGTTTATAGAGTGTAGCTTTACTGCTGTATATGACAGCCCTTTCACAGTACAACAGAAAGGTCTGGGTATCATTTGGATGTATAAAGAGTGTAGCTTTACTGCTGTATATGACGAGCCTATCATAGTACAACAGAAAGGTCTGGGTATCATTTGGATGTATATAGAGTGTATCTTTACTGCTGTATATGACGCCCTATCACAGTACAACAGAAAGGTCTGGTTATCATTGGGATGTATATAGAGTGTAGCTTTACTGCTGTATTTGACGAGCCTATCACAGTACAACAGAAATGTCGGTGTATCATTTGGATGTATATAGGGTGTAGCTTTACTGCTTTATATGACGCTATCACAGTACAACAGAAAGGTCTGGGTATCATTTGGATGTCTATAGAGTGTAGCTTTACTGCTGTATATGACGCCCTTTCACAGTACAACAGAAAGGTCTGGTTATCATTGGGATGTATATAGAGTGTAGCTTTACTGCTGTATATGATGAGCCTATCGCAGTACAACAGAAATGTCGGGGTATCATTTGGATGTATATAGAGGGTAGCTTTACTGCTGTATATGACGCCCTATCACAGTACAACAGAAAGGTCTGGTTATCATTGGGATGTATATAGAGTGTAGCTTTACTGCTGTATATTACCAGCCTATCACAGTACAACAGAAATGTCGGGGCATCATTTGGATGTATATAGAGTGTAGCCTTACTGCTGTATATGACGAGCCTATCCCAGTCCAACAGAAATGTGGGGTATCATTTGGATGTATATAGAGTGTAGATTTACTGCTTTATATGACGCTATCACAGTACAACAGAAAGGTCTGGGTATCTTTTGGATGTATATAGAGTGTAGCTTTACTGCTGTATATGATGAGCCTATCGCAGTACAACAGAAATGTCGGGGTATCATTTGGATATATATAGAGTGTAGCTTTACTGCTGTATATGACGGGCCTATCACAGTACAACAGAAAGGTCTGGGTATCATTTGGATGTATGTAGAGTGTAGCTTTACTGCTGTATATGATGAGCCTATCGCAGTACAACAGAAATGTCGGGGTATCATTTGGATGTATATAGAGTAGCTATACTGCTGTATATGACGAGCCTATCACAGTACAACAGAAAGGTCTGGGTACCATTGTATATAGAGTGTAGCTTTACTGCTGAGGTTATTGATATCTCAGTTGGAATCCAATTACTTTTGCCTGATTTGAAAATTTTGCTTGTGAAAGAAGACCACAGATTTCTTGTATTCCAATTTATCTAGAAAATAAGTTGTATTAAAAATAACTTAAGAAAACAATTACGTGGGTAAGAAGAGAAATTATTTATAGATTGGAAATTGGTTACGACTTAAAACAGATTTATTATGTAAAGTAAGCTGGCGTTGAAAGTTGAGCTATGAATTTGTTGCTGAAAAATATAAACTGCAGCCTTACTGTCAGGATTTTTGATGTATAGAAGTTTTTAAATTAAAATGAAAATAAGAAAGAGAGAGAGAGAGGTATCTCAGATATGAGAAAAGAAATTCAAAGATTCCTTATCAGTGACTCTTTGAAGTACTCTACCAAGATCTGATAATTCATGTTTACCTTTATAAGTTAATTGTATGTGAATTTTATATTACATTTGGTAAAGGCCTTTATTTGAATATTAAAACATTTCCTCTGTCCTTGATACTGATTTTAAGTATTTAATAATTCTAGTAGGGTTTCCTGTCTCCTTTGGAGCTTGGTACTAGCTGTATTTTTGGAGCTTGGTTTTAACTGTATTGTTTTTCTCTACTGAAACTTGTGTTTATTTCCAGGAGCACTAGTGAGGTGTCCCCTGTGGTTAACAGTAACCCGTTTATCAATAGATCTGGGACCAAGTCAACTAGCAGTTCTATAATGGAGGATACAGGGGACAGTAGTCAGACCTCTGCTCCAGAGTCGCTGGACCAGATGAGTGACTGGTATGTTGAAGAAGAGTTCAGGATTGTGAGTGACGATTCTGTATCAAAAATCGCAGAAGCAAAACGGAAATCCAAGGGAGGCGTGAAACTGACAAGAGGAGGGAAATCTCAGTCACAGAGTGGGAAATCAGTTGAAAGGCGTACATCTAAAGCAAGGGAGGAAAATGTCCCGGATCGTGAGAGTTCAATGTCAGTGAAAATGCAAACAGCAAAATCAGTAGGGAAACGGAAATCACAAATAGTTCCTCCCAACGTTGGGGAAGAAAGCATTGAGACAAATTCTCAAAATACAAGCAGTACAATGAGAAAGAAAAGCTTGAAACGAAAATCTAATAATGAAGGTGAGAGTTTTAAGGCAGAAGTGAAAACAGCAAAATCAGTAGGGAAACGGAAATCACAAATACAACAAGCAGTTTCTGCCAAAGATGCTGAAGAGAATGTTGACGAAAATTCTCAAAAACAAGGTAAAACATTGAAACAGAAAATCCTGAAACGGAAATCTATTGCTTCTGTTCCAAGTAAAACTGCAGATCAAAGCAATGGAAAGGACAAACATACAAAAGGATGTGAAGATTTGGGTGAAAAACAAACAAAGGCGAAAAAGCGAAAATCACTAGCTGTCAAAAATAGAACCATGTATGAGGGAAACAAATCAGAAAAGGTGGAATATTCATATGATTCGGACAACAGCAGTGTGATTATTGACGAATATGAAAAAGAAATTGAGAAAGAATTGAAATCTAGGAAATCAAGAGCACACAAGCCTGATTATGTGTCGGGGAAACCTTCCAAGTCTGTGGCTGATGCTGTGTCGGGGAAACCTACCAAGTCTGTGGCAGATGATAATGTAAAATTAAACAAAAATGTTGTGAAAAAGCGAAGAACATTTGTGTTAGGTGATGATGACTCGGAAACAAAAGAACCTTTAGAACGCATTCAAACAGACATAAAAAATACTAAGGCAAGTGTGAGCGATACAGGAGGATGGTCTAGTAGATCCAAGGTCACAGACACAGGGGACATAAGTACCAAAAAACGGGGACAGAAAAATAAGTCTTTACTTGAGAAAAAGCAGGGAGAAACTTCTCATGATATGGACATTGAAAATGATGGAAATAGCTCTGAAAAGGTTTTTGATGATGATTTGAATAAAAAGGAAGGAAGTGTCGTTAAAAAGCCACTTAAAAGGATAGGAAGGAACAGTAGAAAATCTTGTCCTCAAATTAGATCTATTCCAACTACTCACCCGTCAAATGACACAGAAGACAATGGTGTTGGTAAAAAAATGAGGAAGAATGGAAGGAAATCTTACCCTTCTAAATCTGTCCCAGCTCGCCAGTCAAAAGGCATGAAAGACCACATTGATGAGGGTAGCATAATGGATACAGGTAAGTCGCACGGTAGGGAATTTGGTGGTGGAAGTACAATTTACACATACTTTGTAAGTAAGAAGGAATAAATTAGCTGTTTTTTATATTATGGAATCATTATTACTGCGAAAATAAAACCCCTGAAAAATAAACCATTCTGTATAAACTTATGATGAACTGACACATCCACTTGGTTGGTTAAATCTACAGAGATGGTTGATGTTATCATGTAATTAGGGTATATTATGTGAGATCTATTTTTGTGGATTTCATGTCTAGCTGCCGTGCATGGTGTTGCAGTAAGAATGTATTAATAAGCAATTATTTTTTTGTGGAAATACTGTTACGCTAAACACATGAAAATTAGAACCCTGAGGAAAAAACTTTCAGAACGCACTTCAGGAAGTAATCCATCCACATGACTGGTTGACATGTCGGTTGATTTTATCATGGAATTAGGGTACTTTTACTGTAAAATAGGTATCGATTCCATCATATTTAATTTCAATATTTAGGGAATGTACAAATGTTATAATAGTGATTGAATGTGCTGGTCTTCTATGAAATTGGTCTCAACAATAAACTATGCATACAGTTTAAAGAACAATGTTTTCAAAACAAAAGGAAACGGAAAAAAATTGTTTGTTTCTCTTTCCTTTAATTAGATTATAAGATCAGATAATTTACTATGATTCTCTGCATATATCTGAGCAGGCCACTTTAGGGGTCACATTCCGATGAGTGATGACCTTTTAATCAAACCAGTCAGTATGACACCTTCAAAATTAACATCATTAGAAAACACAGGTATAAACATCGGCATCCAGGTGTTGTATGAAATGCCACAACAGCATATACTACGGCATATGATTTCTGATACCTATTATGAGACTTTCATAGTAGATTTTGAAAGCAGCTTACAGTCGGCTTACATTCTTCCTAATGTTGTTGAAAAGCCTGTTTCATGATTAATGATTAACTGATAAATATATACTGTTCCTGGTTATCAGAAGTAGAGGTTGAGATTTTCTACAGAGGATCGTTTACTTTTCATTCATTGGTCACAATCTTAAAACATCCATTTATTCACTGTTAAAAAATTATACAAAGACATTTTGTGAATCTAACACATCTAGTGACTGGGTTCAGCATAGAGGAAATCTTTACATGAATATCACAGTAGTACTTAGAAAAAGTATTGTTTTCAAAGATGCATGTGGCAATAATGATATGTACTATCTTGTTATATGACAGATTGTGTTACAGCAGCTGATGAGGATTTACCTTGTGAAGACGTACCTGTTGAGGAAGAACCGTGTGAGGATTTGCCAGACAAGGACTTATCTAGTGACAACTTACCTGATGACAATATACTTGAGGAACAGGAGCAAGACATTCGTAAAAACCGTAGGCCCAGAAGAGGTATTTTTGTATACATGTTTAAATTAATTCAATATGTTACTGTAATGTAGATCTACCATATATAAATGGCTTGTAACATCATTCATGTTATCTTATGCATTTCTAACTTGAACAAGGTTCAATCATAATAATAGATTTTCTTCTTTGGTAACAAAAAAACTAATTTATAATTCACAAAGGTTTCATTTGGTTATATGTTCACAGCTTGGCAAAATATACAAAAATATCAGCCCCTTAGATTGCTATTTAGAACAGTTTAAGGCATTGCATAAAATTAAAAGTTTACAAATGCCTTTTGGATATAAAGACACAAAAAAAAATGACCACACAAAACTAATATGCTACACAGCAAAACAGTATTTCACTTCTGGATACACCACTGTAGGCAGTCTTAACTCGCTAGAGATTTGTCTGTATTTGTAACTTTATGATTCAGCTGTTGCAGCCAAAAGGAAACCTGATAAGAAAACAAAGGGTACTGGTTTATTAAAACAAACTTTGTCAAAGAATAAAACAAAGAAAGGAGTAACTGAGAAGAAAAAGGGGATGCCAGAAAAACAATCCAACGTGTTAAAAACAGGAAAAACGGAGCCAAAGCAAGTTTCCACAGCAAAGGGCAAACTTAGGAATGAACAGGTGTCGGAGAATAAACCCAATAATGGGTCAAAATCTAAGTCCAAGATTCTTTCTAAAGCAAAAGGGAGAAGAAAGCAGAAAATCAGCATAGGATATGTGGAGGGGGACTCATTGACTTGTACTCCAAAAATCTCGTCTAATTCTTTAACACTATCAAAGACTGCAGCAAGGACATTACAGTTAGACGTGTCTGAGGAACAGGAGGTTGACAACCTCGACATCAATGAAAGTGTTTCAAATGTGCAATCTTCACAGAAAAACAAGATGTCTTCAAGGAAAAATAGTTTATCAAATCGAAAATCAAAGAAACAAAAAGGTAAAAAAGGAGAAAATGTTGCGAGTAGGGAAAATGATGATGAGAAGGAAGTTTCTGCTGTCATAGTTTCAGACCCAGTGCCTGCTGACAATGATATTCCCATGCTTTCTCAGTCTAAACAGTCCAATCTCCGCAGGAGCCTACTAGCAAATACCATATTGTCACCTCAAGGTAGGTTTGTTAATTCAGAGGTGTTTATTTGACCTTAATTGTAGACTTAATATTTTTATAGTTGTTTCTGTCTCCTCTGGAGTTTGAATGATTAATTTTCTGAATTTGACATTAATCTCCGATCTGCATACTTCGAAAGTTAAAGATATATGTACCCTAATTAATTTATGTGTTCTTTTTCAATTGTACATGTCCTAACATTTTCGTTTGATGGTCAAATTTTCACTTGAAATAAAAGAGAAAAACATTTTGATTGGAACATGTAAGAAGCAAATCATATATCTTTGTTTCTATATTTCTTTGAAAAACTAGATGAGTCTTTTTCATCAGAGTTCTAGTCTTATTTATCCAACAACAAGTGAAGTATAGAACAAAGATCTTTTTTCGTGGATGCATATTGGTGATTGTGTTTTGTTTCTTTCAATGGTAGGTTCTTTTACCCCCTTTTCTGCAACACCTGGATCAGAATGTAAGTACTCATGCTTGTTTGCATCATTTCATAAGACAGCCTATAAAATCCTGGTCTTGATTTTTCTGTCGTTTTCAGTTCGTCTAGAACCCCTGACGCCACTGGTGATTGGACATCATATGCTATTGTCTCGTTGTGCCATACTATGGTATCAAAGCAAAAAATATTGAAACAAAGTGACAAAATGCTACTTATGTGCATATTTTATGAGAAGAGAAACAATTAGATGATGAGATGCAAGTTTTTGATCTGACACTTCCCATTGATCTTATTCTTGGAATGATGTTCTGTAAAATTTCAATCTCAACTAACCCTCGATCAAGATTTGTTATTTTCTCTTATGGTCAGTTATTCAATTGTTGCAGTTACCCTGACTAGAAGGGAGGAAATGTTTCGCAGCGGGGTGTCATTTCGTCAGCTGAAGGTGGAGCGATCAGGAAAAAAATCTATCTCACAGAATAGTATGTATTTTAAGTTGTTTACATAATTTTTAAAGTAAAAATATTCAGAAATAAAGCACATTTAATTATTTCTTTTTATTTTGTGTGAGCGGGTGTTTGTGTGTGAAATTGTATTGATTAACACCTGTAATGAATAAAAACACAAAAGTCAATGAAGAGAGAAACTATATCCCAATTATTGCTTTATTTAAGGAAGCAAAACATCAGATATTGAAGACAATGATCAAGATGTTGCTGTTGATAAAGATGAAGATGACGATGATCAAAACCTGGATGCTGATGAGGATGTACAGGATGAGGTTGATTATGGAGATGAAAATGGAAATGACTTTCCTCAAAATGAGATAGATGATGATATCAGGGATGCACAAGAGTCTTCTCCTAAACAACAAAGCACCTCTAACAGGAAACAACTCGCGAGGAGGAAGTCTGGACTGTCGAAAGGGCTATTAGGTGCCACACCAAAGTCTTCCTCTTCGCCAGCAAACCTCACTCCCTGCCTTGTTACACCGGGTAGAAAGAGTTTGAGTAAAGCGCGTAGGGTCACCATCAGCAACCAAGTCACAGAGGCTGTGTATATCGTCCCATCCGATACCTCGTGTGAGTTGTGTGATATGTTAAACCAAATTAACCACTGCCAGTTCATACAGCATACCAGTAGTGATGGACAGTTGATTTAAAATCCTAATCGATAATTGGTAGTAGTTAACCGATCGATGATCAAATGCATAAACGGTTCCTAATTTCATAGGACTGAATACCAACATAAAGTGAGAACATTTCTATTACATCAATAGACAGAGTTGCTTACTATACACAAGGTTTCATTCTTTTATATTGAATGGATTTCAAGCAATTTTTATCAATCATATAGTAAAAATCATAAGAATATATGACTCAATGCATTTTTTACATTGAAAACATTTATCATTTTGATTTTAATGAAGAACCGTTTATATCAATATTGGAATTTGCAATCGATAATCGGAATCCGAAAGGACAAACCAATTGATTTTCTATCATAGTCCATCATCAGCCCATCACTACATACCAGATCAAATTTTGCAAGGAAAAATATAGAATCTGTCACTCTTGTGTGATGTAGACAGAGATATATCATCCCAAGGGAAAATATTTGAAGTTCAGTACAAGGCTTTACCACATACTAAATTTCAAATATCCTATCTCAAGGGTGGAGATTGTTCTGTCTGCATCACACAGGAGTGATTGGTCCTATTTCTCCTACACTTTTCTATTGTAAACCCAGTGTACCACACTTTTATCAAGGGTGCATGACATGTGGGACAAAAATTGATGATGCCACCATGGTTACACTGCATAAGAGCTGTCTTTTCCTAGGCTAGGAACATGCCCCCCATAGGCCTGTGAAATTGTTTTGATTTGACATCTGCATGTTCATTCAAATTACAATACTACATATAAGTCTGGAAACTATTTTCTGTATCACTTCTGGTTTTATCTCTGAAGTTGACTACTGGTTTGTCTTGGATATGTTTGTGTTTAAGTAACAAGGTTTACATTTGTTATTACAGCACCAGACTCGCCAATCTCCTCCAAGGCTAGTCGGCGCCCCAGTATTCCTGGTAACACTGTTCATATCAATATTATATTCGCTTGACAGTTGTTTCTGTATATATATATATATATATATAAACATCCAGTTACGTAAAGAGTGTCAAACCCTGATAGCCTGGGTACCCAACTAACAATGCTAAGACCCTCATAGACTGGACACCAACTTACCACACTGAAACACTGATAGTCTGGGCACCAACTAACCACACTAAATACCAGATAGTCTGGGCACCAACTATTTAACCACACTAAATACCAGATAGTCTGGGCACCAACTAACCACACTAAATACCAGATAGTCTGGGCACCAACTTACCACAATAAAACCTTGATAGTCTGGGCACCAACTGACCATGCTAAAACCCTGATAATCTCAGTACCAGCTCACTTTGCTAAACACCCATTGTATTCAGAAAATTTGCGGACTTTCTTTGTCCTAGAACAGTTTTATGTTTGGAATAGAAGGCTGCATGGCCTAGCAAATGAATTTTATAATTTGAGTTCAAAATTACCACCTGTTGGTTCATGAATTACAAAGAGATTAATAGAAAAAAGATATCGACTTTGAACATCCATCATCACTTGGTTATTGTAAAAGTTTCAGAACCTATGATAAATAAACTAGTTTTGCTGTTCAATAAAAAAAAATGTGAGAATAAATTTGTAATTTACACAGGTGGTGAGCTTACAACGTACATTTCCATGTCATCCACGCCTATACATGCCTGTGAGAGGACCACAACAGAAACACCAGAGCCGTTCCAGAAACCAGAGAAATGCAAAATCAGTAAGTCACACTGATGAACTATGCCATGCTTCCCCATCCACTGTGTGGAGGGTTTGCATTTTCCATATAACTGAAGTTAGTTTTTAATGTTTCTCAAAGTTCAAATGGAATACCAAACTTTCTGCAGCTCTTAACCAACAAAAATGGACTAATAAAGATTACTGAACAAAGCTATTAACACATTTCCATACTTGTTCATCGAGACATCAGATAAGTGTTTGAAGGCTAAAAGTAAGGTCAAAAGGTCACTTGGTGCAGCTATTCACCGAGCTATAAGGGGGGAATGTTACTCTGTTACAGGTTAGAAACATCCCTTTGTCTGTAATACACTCATTTCACTGTGTAGTTATTGTCTACTTAAGTCCTATATTATCATGGAATTGTTTGTCAGTACTGCCGGACCCATCTCCCCCTGATGGTGTGAGAAGGTCACAGAGGACGAGGGTACAGACTTTGGAGTGGTACAAGAATGAACGAGTTGATTATAAATACAGGAAGTCAGGTAGGTTCTTCTTGAGTAATTAAAACTTTACCCTTGCAGCTTCAACTATTGACTCTATAACATTTTTAGAATACTTGATTTCATTCGGTTTATGAAAAGATTGCTATCCAAAAATGTACGGGTAACAAAAAGAACAGTTGAGCTATACCAGGCCCTATGAGCGTCTTGTTATAGGGTAGAATATGGTATACAATTGTACTTTTTTTTTTGTTACAGGCGGATTTGTTATAGCGGGAATCATTCCCTCACAAGAAGCTAAGATCTTGGAACATGAGAAGAAAAAGAGAAAAAATATGCAGAAAGCCCATAAAATGAAAAAAAGTAGGTACCTTATGACACATCAGTTGCATATATTCACTCCACTTGGTTTGGGAGAAAATACCTTGATACAACATTGTAAATATTTAGCTGTTCAAACCCTTTTCCTGCAGTGTAATTTTAGTTCTATGATTTATGAAAAAAAATGAGAAAAAGAAAGGAATTAAGAATCAAATCATTTATTCATACTTTTGGTAACACAAGGGTAAGTACCCACAGTGACCTGGAACTTTAAAGTCACGACTGAGAGGTATAGGCCCTTCCAAAAATGTGCATGCATCATTAATGGTGTCCATAAATGGAAAATGATATTGACGGTGTATAGACTGTTGGGCTGTATACACTGCATAAAAGCTGTGTTAAGTTTCGATTCTACCTCATGATGAGTACAGGTTACGGGCTGCCAGGAAGCAGCTGGGCTGTAGAATAACCCTACATATAGGTGCCACAGTTTCCCCATAAATAGGGGTAGGAGTTGAGTTACACTACAGGGATAAGGCCCAAATAAATATGTGCATCAAATGAGAGCCCCCATAAGGGATACCATTCTATTCTATTTCACCTGGAGTATGGGGCTCTAGTGAATCCACCCATGGATCTGACACATTGTGGGACAATAGAAGTGTTGGATCACCTTACAGTATTAATGTGTGAATAAGGTACATATTTTATGAAAATGAACACTGCATTCCAGTCATGGCAGGGATTTAGTGACAGATTACTAATCCAATTATTACACAAGTATAAAGGAGCATATTGATCTAGTGTCAAAATCCTCAGGATTACACAGAAAGGTGGTCGTTTGATATGAAATTGAACTATTTGATATTATGACAAATTGACAGACCAAAATTTATGATTGTTAACTATCACTTTTTTATTCAGAGAAGAAGAAGGCCGCGTCACCACCCAGAAATCTTTCTATGCACACTCCAATTCCATCAGACATGAACCTCACGGTGTCAGACGAGATTCCTGTGATGAACCCCGACACAGAGGAGGAAGTGTATGTGGGTAAGTAGTGCAGTCCGTGTACTGGTGCATCACAAGTTCTCAGTGTATGACACAGTTAATGAGAGGGGAAATATTCATGTTGATACTTACTATTTAAAACATTAATGTCACGGTGTAGAAGTATCCTCTCAGACATGTTTGTTGGTCTGTCTGCTGACATTAGGTTAGCGTATTGTGAATATAGTATGGTGTCCACCTAACCTAGCATACTGTTCCGTGCCCAGTAAATAGTGAGAGATATATGTTTAAAGGGAAATATCTTGTTCAATTGTGACTATTTAAAAATCACATTATCTTGAGTGACAAAACAATTGTAAAATATTATAAAGGAGCTAGGATTGCTCATTCCCATTGAGTGAAGGGAGTGTACTTCCTTTGTAGGGTGATAAAATGGTGTTGTTTTCCCTACCCCTGAGTAGGTTGTGGTGAGGTAACTGTGGGGTTGTAATCAGAGTGTTAATACATGCTTTGAGATAGCTTCTCAGTTTTTTATGCCATGCAAATAACAAATATGTTGGCATTCTTTTTGGAAATATGTATATAATAATTGTCTTTTACAGAGTGTTTTGCCAGTAAAGACAGTGGGGTGTTTGTGGGTCCCTCTGGTAAGCAGCCCTCACCTGAAGATCCCTTCGTAATGTCACGTATCCTGGACCAGAAGGGGTTCGGCACTGGCATGTTATTGTTGCGCCCCCTGCAGGAGAAGACAATTCAGATGGTCAGCCGAGGCACTCTGGTATGGCTACATGTTCCAATGAATGTTTACTTTGTTCAGGTTTTGCATAGACTAAATTGTTAAATAGATGTATCCTCACTTCATATTTCTAGTGATAATTTCCCAATAGTGAGTGGAGACAGACTGGTAGTTCTATATATCATGAGCTAGAATTTACTGGTGGCTTTTTCAATGATAATATTGACAAACTCATAAGTTTACCAAAGGAAAGCCAGGACATTCGTAATTGTGGTTGATTAGGATCACAGCAGTGCACCCATTTTTTTTTATTTCAATAATTTATTTTCTAATACCCTGTAGTAGTCTATTAATTGAATTGAATGGATTTTTCTACACAATTAATACCAAATATTACAATAAGCAAATTAGTATGTTTTATTAACTTCACTTGTGTAGTCTAGTTTCTGTATGGTTCAGTTTGAACAGTGTTATCAACTAGACAAATATTTTGTATCAGGTTCTTTCCATCTCTCCACTTTTTGTTTCAGATTTTCCTGCTGGCGCAGGGTGTGATAACGATGACAGTGCACAAAGCGTCTGTCATCATGGAGGCTGGCGACTCAGCCTTTGTTCCCAGAGGTCAGTGAAACATTGTCACTGTCTCCTCACTCCGTTCTGTGAGGTGCAGATTTCTGAAGACTGAAAGTTCATTGACTTGACTTGACTTGATTTTATATCTGTAGACAAGTTTGTCTAAAGTAATGCTTCCTCTTGAATAAGATTATGGAATAAGATTATGAAACTAGATACACATCCTCATTTTACAGGATATATACCCATTCTTTCTATTTATATATGCATGTTGTCCAGAACTAAGTGATGCTATCTGCTACAGACTGTAATGAACCTTGCTAACATTGTCATGGTACACAGCAATTTTCTTTATTTCTCCATGTTGTAAGGGACCTTCAATATTAGTCAGTTCATTTTTTTCTGAAACTCATTTCTTTCGAAAGATATTTTAAGAAGAAAAGTATTGGGTAACAAATATCTCTTCAGCCTTTTTTTGTGAAAGATGGAAAGATTAAGAGAAAATTGTATTTTGTTGTTTTCAATGTTCATGACAGTACACCTACCTACCATGAAGCCCCAGCCAATTTTTATGGAATATGTATGTAACTGACTTGAGTTCACAGCAGCACGAACATTAAATATGCCATTTAATCCCTATGTGTAATAGTGTATGAATTGTTAAATCTGTAAATTCTTTACTTACAGGAAACACATACAGCATGAAAAATCTACGCTCAGAAGAGGCAAAACTTTCCTACACAGTTTTGAAGGAAACACTTGATACTAGTAACATGTGGACATCTTGAATTATCTATCAACCATACATATACTGTACATTGTGTATACCATCATAGAAACCTCAAGTTATCGGTCGTACAGATGACATACATGGAGCTATACCATCATAGAAACCTCAAGTTATCAGCCATACAGATGATATACATGGAGCTATACCATCATAGAAACCTCAAGTAATCGGCCATACAGATGACATACATGGAGCTATACCATCATAGAAACCTCAGGTTATCGGCCGTACAGATGACATACACGGAGCTATACCATCATAGAGACCTCAAGTTATCGGTCGTACAGATGACATACATGGAGCCATACCATCATAGAAACCTCAAGTTATCGGCCATACAGATGACATACATGGAGCTATACCATCATAAAACCCTTACATTATTGACTATACAAAAGAGAAGCAGTAATTTCTTACAGTGCATACATGTGTTATATATTTTCATATGTTAACTAGCACCAGATCAGGGTTTTTTGGGATTTTTTTTATTACGATGATAAAAATAATCAAATCTATTTCAATTTGTGTAAAATTTGACATCAAAAGATGCAATTTTGCTTAGTATAGGAATCATCGAAAACTGCATTATTAGGAATAGAAAATGAGGTCAGTATGTTACTAGATTGTACAGTAGTAGTATTTTTGTAAAGATGTTGTATAAATCCACATACCTCGGGTCAGTGTTGCTGTACAAGGCAACATTAATCTGCAGTGTGAACATAAAATCATGTTTTTGATTATCACATATTTATTTCAAAATGTCCAATCAGAATCATACATATGGTGGGAAACATTATATACATTGTATATATATAGATATATAATACAATTACAATTCATCTAATGCCAATTATGATTTTCTTTAGATATATCACTTTCTACATTGTAAACATATTATATGGATAACCAGCATTTTCTCAATGTTTCTAATCAATAATATTTCTGCACACATGCTAACATGTGGAAGTGTTTAATTCTGGTATCTATTATTTATTCTTTTAAATATATTCCGGTTTATTGGTAACTGTCCTCCATAGAAACATGTCTTTGCCATGGTGACCTATAATGATAATTGTTTTGGTAAGGGATTCCATCAATCTCCAGGTGTAGTTGGTTCTCTCTTGTCAAAGGTTGATAAGTGTGTCAGGAATGACTGACCTAAAGTAAGGTGGAGAGACACAATTCATGAGAAATGGTCTTTATTTTAATAAGATATCTGTATGAAGCTTTTATTTGCCACTAAGTCACTGAAATGGCCCCAATCCAAACTAAATTTTAGTGTTTTTTTCTATTCTTGAGTTCTTTTTTTTCTATCATAATTCACCATTATTGATATTCACTATTAAATGTAAATGATAGTATTTATTGATAGAAATGAATTTTAAATTTGATTTTGAATAAAATGTACATTGATAAAAATGTAATGCATTACAAAATGTTTGAATGTTTTCGGGTATAAATCCTGGCGGACCTGCAAATGTTTATGCAGGCCTTGTAATGCTTTGTCAAGGCTCGTCTGAAAGCACCATCAGACTACTAGGTCCGATGCATGGTCTTTACCCCTTTCACCCCTAGGTAACTAGAGAGGACTCTACCATACATCTGGATGAGTCCATGATGGTCTACAGTGGTGAAAGGGTTAAAGCAGTTTGAGTGTTAGGTGTACATACATTTTGTGTAAGTAGTCTATAAAATATCAACTATTATTGAGTGGTATTACTTTTGTTATATGTCTTCCTAAATAAACTAAAGATGATCAGCTGCTTGTGTTTCTACTGTGTCTTACAAATATATCAAATAAACTGGTACTCACATTATCCCTAACTGTAACTGGCCTTCTATTCTCACTCCTTCCATATACACATTAATTTACAACTACCACTATACCTTACACCTAGAAGATACTGACATATATATTACTGATAAATGTTTTAATCAATGCTTACATCACGTTGTGTTTTGTTATGAAGCATCTGTCTGATGAAATCTTTCCAGTCCAGACGGTGTAAGGTGTCTATCCTCTCTGTGACTTGGATGTCTGTTCGCTATCCTCTCTGTGACTTGGATGTCTATTTCAAACATCAATATTTATATTTTGACACCATGCAAGCTTGTACCCTACAGACCCCCGGGAGTGCTTGTATCACTGCTATCCAATGTTTATGTCATATTCGACCAGTAGGTTCTGTAGTGCTACACTGACCTTTGGGTGTCTTCTAGCTCATTGTAGTGCAGGAAGGGCAGGAACACCGTGCAAGGTAGTGGATAGTGTAAGATGCTGGACTTACGTTCAACACAAAATGAGCAACTATTTACCTCTGAGTGAAGGGACTTTACAAAAACTGTTATTAATATAAGCAAATTTTGCTGACGAACACTTTCTCGACTTTTCGAAAGACGAAATGCCATTTTCACATTGCACCTAGTATACATAAAACAAATTCAGTTTGTTGCCTGGATGTATGGTAGTATAACGGCGATGACAATCCGTGTCTTAAAATGCAAAGTCGCCCTATACATTTCAGTACCGAATGTGGACCTCGTTATAAGCCAATACTTTAACGTTAGACTCGGTGTACCTGGTCCTTTTGTCGGCGTCAGTGTCTTGTGATCTGAAGAAGCTTCATAAAGTGCAAATCTGTTGACAAACACTAACTTAGACTGTACAGATATACCATGATAAAGGGATAAATGTATTTCCTCACTGAGGGGGAAATAATGTCCGTTTAGAATATGGAAAATCTTCGTTGGTGTTATGACTCAAAATTCGTTACTAGAAAGAAAAAAATACCGAAGAAAAGTCAATCCCTTAACAAAAGTGTGCAAAGAAAAAGACCAGAAAGTCAACACACAACGGCAAAATGGAGATCAATTTGGTCTGGAAAAACTAGTGGAGTACTAACACGGAGAGTGTTTTAAGTTGTATTGTAACAAATGACTCATCATTATCAGACCCAAAACTGGTGACAAACTCCCACCCTGGTACTGGGTCATGGATTTATCGTGTCGATAGTTTCAAACCAGCAATCTGTTCCTCTATTCTCCTGACACTGTCATACTGCTGTAGATTTAACACCGCGCAGCATTATGACAGCGTCAGAAGAATAGATCGGATTGCTGGTTTGAAACTATTGACACGATAAATCCATTGCCAATATTCAGGCAAATAAAAGTACTCCTTTAACACAAAGCACATCCTTTTCAACAGGTGACTTTTATTTTGGATATGGAACAATTTTTGTTGTTGCAGTCCTTGTACCTTTAGACAAGTTAGACAATATCCATTCATTCTCTTGTTAGTTCACCGGGTCCGAAGGACCAAGGTGAGCTGATGCCATACTGTTGCGTCCGTCGTCCGTCCGTCCGTCAACAATTCTTTAAACGACTTCTTCTTCTTAACCACTGGTTGGAATTTAACTAAATTTGACTGGAAGCATCCCTAGGTGGTGGGGATTCAAAATTGTACAAATGGTTGGGCTGAGGGCTGGGCCAAAAGGGGGCAATTTGGCTATATTGCTTTAAGCGACATCTCCTCTGGAACTAAGGGATGGATATCAACCATATTTGACTGAACGCATCCCTAGGTGGTTTGGATTCAAATTTGTACAAATGGTTGGGCTGACCCCCCAGTGGGCTGAGGGGCGGGGCCAAAAGAGGGCATTTTGGCTATATTGCTACAAATGACTTCTTCTGTAGAACTATGCACTGGATATCAATCATATTTAATCAAAAGCATTCATGGGAGGCAGGGATTCAAAATTGTACGAATGGTGTGGCTGACCCCCGTGGGGGCTGAGGGGTGGGGCCAAAAAGGGTTATTTAGCTATATTGATTTAAGCGACTTCTTCTCTGGAACTAAGGGATAGATATCAACCATATTTGACTGGAAGCATCCCTAGGTGGTGGGGATTCAAAATTGTACAAATGGTGGGGCTGAGGGCTGGGCCAAAAGGGGGCAATTTGGCTATATTGCTATAAACGACTTCTTCCGTAGAACTATACCATGGATATTGATCATATTTGGTCGTAAGGCATGGGAGGCAGGGAATCAAAATTGTACAAATGGTGGGGCTGACTCCCCGGGCTAAGGGGTGGGGCCAAAAAAAATAATTATTACTTGGAAATGGTTGAGAATTGCTGAGTATAAAGAGAGGAATCCACATTTGCTTCCAGGATGGCCCTAGGGTCTGGCCCCACCATTGGAGACTTAACCCCTGGGTCATAACTTTGAAACGGTTAAGATCCCCACCCCAAAACTATATATACAATTGTCGGGCATAAAGAGACGAATGCAGTCATGGTATTAGAATTGGCCCCAGGGTCTGCCCCACCCTTGCAGACATAACCCCTGGGTCATAACTTTGAAACGGTAGAGATCCCCACCCCAAAACTATATATACAAATGCTGGCCAAAAAGAGACAATTGCACTCATGATATTAGAATTTATCCTGGGGTCTGGCCACAACCCTAGGGACCTAGTTTCTGAGTCACAGCTTGGAAACAGTTGAGATCCCCACCCCATAACCATACATAAAATTGCTGGGCATAAAAAATCAAATACAGATATGCTACAAGGATTGGCCTTGGGGTCTGGCATATTCCCTCGGATCTCATTTGGAGAATATTTTGCCATGATTGCATAGATATACAGGTGAGCGATAAGGCCCTCTGGGCCTTTTGTAAAACATTTCAAGCGAGTTTCTACACCATAAGACATAGATGTTTAAATCATAAAACCACAAATTGTCGTTGTCTCCAATGGCTTCTTCCAACATTTTTATATAGGAAATGTTAAGAGTGAAAAAAGGAGCGTTTATTATGTGATCGAGAGAGTGGACTTAACGTCTTCTTGCTCTTGCAATTATCTTAAATCCTTCATTGTAAAAATATGTTTTCAGAACCGTTCTCCAGGGACAAGGTTACGTCGACTTAGTACAATACTGTCTCAAAGTATGCGAAGGCCAATCATGTGGACGAAAACATTAAAACTGATTCACGTAACAGTCGCATAGAATTACTTGGGCCTACAATGTAGTTAATTTATTCGTATAGTCCTTTCTAGAATCCTGAAAAGTCTCTTCAGTAAATGATAAATGTCCGACAGGAACAAGTGCATTCTACAACATTTCAGAAGATTGTTGTCCTAACTTGTCTACCCTTCGAGTCGCATCCTTACCCTCGATGTTTAACACGATCTTATGTATGTGGATACAATGATACTCTCGGCGGGGTACAACACGTCAAAAGATGTCTACATTAAATTAACATATAAACCTTAAACTGCAAGGCATTTAGTCTCACTTTCATTGAAAATATATGCTTGACTTCGTTGCATATACTATGTCTATGTTTCTTTATTACATCGCCCTCTGTCAGTGTTTGAAAAAGTTAAGGAACGTTGGATGGGCCATTTTTATTTACTTATCAACTTTTTTGCTTTCAACCAATTTTAACAAGACCCTGTTGAATGCTAATTAAAGTGCCATGACCATACCGTCGTATAGCTATGCACGGTGAAGGGATCTGAATAGAATACATACCCTATTTTACCTGCCGTCAATGTATATAGATATATATGAATAGACGTATACCGGGTGTGTTAGCATTAAATGTTCTGGTTCCTTAGTTGTCTCCTCTTTATCTATACACCCCGCTAGGGCAGTCTACAGTACTTGCTGCGACATGAATAGTAAATAAACAAGGAATGGCCAATTGGCCGGATTAACAGACCACATCAGGTATGTTTTTATGTAGCTACTGGCCGGATTGACAGACCACATCAGGTAAGTTTTTATGTAGCTACTGGCTGGATTGACAGACCACACCAGGTAAGCTTTTATGTAGCTACTGGACGACGCTATTTTTTTGGAAGGCTATGGTAAACCTGACATGATTGTTAGATACTGATCTAGATGTCACGTAGGATTTATGCCATGTTTCGGTTAGCTGTATTTATGGTACGAATGGTCATGTTGATTAGCATATCTCCGTGTAGACAGTACGTTATATACACCATATTGTTCTAGTCATAGTGTCATTATACTGGCGGAATTCATATTTTTTACAGTTTAGATTTACATGCTGTTTTGATTTTAAAAGTTACTGCGTCTGATAACTATGACATAGACCTGCACACATATTATTATGAGATCATGAAACCAATAATAACTTGTAAACATACAACATATATTGTCGTATCTTTCAATACAGCGTATTTACATTTCCATCATGACGTATTATTTTAGGTATATTTACTCGACATAATGATCACTGCATAATACTGCAAATGATTTAAACTGTTCTTGAAGACGACTCTACGCCAGTAAATTAACTTATCTAAAATTAGATAAATGAACATTTACCGTTACTTTAAGAATATAAAACACATTTCTATGGATATTATGTACACAACGTATAGCAATTTCGGATATTACTATTAAAACCCAGTTAAAAGATGTTCAGCAGTTTGACAGTGTAATATTTCATTGACAGGTATACTACATGTACAATATAACTCCTGTACAGTGTCATTCATCGTCAATATAATGTCGGTATGTCGGCACAGACAGGGTTTTAAATATCCATTCAAGTACGTCGGGTGTCTGACGTGTATTGGAAACCCTCGCTTATTATTGATTATCTTGATCCGTAATCCAGTATATCTTTAAGTGTCTTACTTGTTATAAATAGTACATTTTATATAGATGATAAGGTATTTCCGTTTTACTCTTTAAAACGGGTTTTTTCACATGATGTGGCTTAAACTTATTTTAAAGATAACAATACTTCCCTAACGAGGCAGTCCCATTTGTGGAAATATGCTTAGTTAACCAAATTTACCACTTACACAGTTTTAAAGCCACATAAAGGCATTAGGAAATGCACGTGCTTTAATTAAAAAATGAATGGATGAACACTAAGAATTGTTTCTTTAAACTTTTCGAAATTATCACAAAAAAAGTACGTGAGAGACTCGTTTAAGCTAACTGTACTTTGAACGACATGTTTTTCTATAGTTTTGTATAGGATTTGTCAGCTTAATAACACAATAAAAACGTTCTTTAGCATTATTTATTTGGGTTTTTCCTGTATAATAAATGATATTTCTTTGTAGTTAAAAAAGGATCATATTGGATCAATCTAAAAAATGTAAGTACTGTGTATCTTCATATTTTTTCCCCAAAGTTTTCAAAGTGTGTCAGATATGACTGAATACTCACTTAAAACTCGTAGTTAAAAACAATTGTTCAAGACGTCTTCAAGTTTTCTCTATTACAGGTAATGTATCTTTAACTAAATGTAAATTATTTTTGTGATAATTTTGCAATCGTGTAATGTGTAAAAACTGTTGTAATTTTGTGTCTGCCTTGTAACCTTAAGTATCAGTTTATAATATGTTCTCACATCAAAACACTAAGTGTTATACCTTCTATTAAGGGCCAATGAAAAGAAGGTCAGCTCTCACTTGACCTACCAAGAACTTTGGGACGCTGTCCGTTTTCGTGATATGCCTCAAATAGACGCCTGGGTCAGTGAGGGCCTTGAGCTCTTCGATTATGACCGCCAGATGACGGTATATCATATCGCCTCACAGTGTGGGACCGTTGATTTTATAGAAGAACTGGTTCGAAGACACCCTACCACGACACATCTGATTATGCGCGGCAGCAAAGAAGGTGCCGTGACCAGTCTCCACTGGTGTTGTTGTATGACAGCCAATGAGAAAGATGACAGCGGCCATAGCGTCGGCATCCTCGACGCCCTTTGTAGGGCCGCGGGTCCGGGACTAGCGCTATACAGTACGGGGAACGAGGACGCGGCTACATGGACTGACTGGGCAAACGATGACGAAAAACTATGTGAATATATAAAATGGAGAAGACAAAACACGGCAGGTGATTAGTTCTCAAGCTCCTCTTGTTTTTTTACTTGATCTTACTGTTCCGGCAGCGAATAAAATATACATTACAGCTTTGCTAGGGTAGGGCATAGGCTACGATTAGCAACGATTATCAGGTATTTTTTTTACTTTTAAACGTATTTCATCACAATTCTAACTATTTCTTGAATCTTTACTGTTTTAAAGCTATAGAATAGCTATAATTATTATGACGTCGCCAGGGGTCATTCAGTACAAAGCGCCCTCATAGGATCATTAAAAACTAAAAACCGCCCCAATAGGATCATATATATTACTGATATGGTCTTGGTTGGAATGACACTAAATGACCGTTTGGAAAAAAACGTTGCCATAACAGACAATCACAACACCGCATCTATAGCCGTGCACTCGAATATGCTGTTTTGCTTATAAAAGAGGGACAGCTTACCTGCGGCAATGTAGTAGAGCAGTCTGGTCTAACATATTGTTTGCATTGAAATCGGTTTATTTTCTATATTGCATTTCGTGTTTGTTATATTCCTATTAGAACTTTTGTACAGGGTTGCCTCCGGAGATAAGGCGTCTAGACAACCGATCCATCCACCAATACATTCATACGTTTGGCAGCATGGGGAGCGAATCTGCTGAGAGATACAAGCAAGCCATTAAAGGTAAGACGGAGACCTCTTACTGCATCCGTCTGGTATTCCTTGGACACGAAGGTGTGGGGAAGACAACTCTGATGTTACGGATGACTGACCAGGACGTATCCAAATTGAAACCCACAAACCAACTGGACGTCCTCCTCAATCTGCTCATCATTGACCGAATCAACAAACAACGTAAACTTCTCCAGCCAGGAATGGAACAGGAAGTTACTCGCCAGAGGCTCAGAGATGTTATTGTCGACTCATTCCTCTCAGACCCTTCCTCGACAACTGAAGGTACCTGTTGGAGTCGTCCCTACACTGAGTGCAATTTTCAAACTTTTGTGTTGACGCTATCATTATATAACATAGTTTTAAAAAGCTCAAAATAAAACATATTTTGATATAACATTGAACAAATATGATGACAAGAACCACGAATCTGTCACGAAATACAACGATTTGCAGTATTTTGATTATACTTTTCATGTATGAACTTAGAATATTTCAATAATTCTATTAACATACTGATTGCACCTTTCGTACGTTATACAGATATGCTTACATTTTTAGACGGAACTGCGTTGGGTGCGATGACAAAGCCGCCGGATACTCCAATCACAGAGGGCATTGTGAATCGTAGTTCGAGTACTTTTTCTGAGAGCCCACGAGCCTCTTTGGTGACTCCTACCACACCCCCTGAAGTAACCTCTCCACCTACCACACCTTTAACTCCGGACACAGTCTTTAACGCGCCCCCTATTATGACCACCTCAGCTATTCACACAGAGGCAGCCGTCGTCATGACATCTGGACCCACAGAAGATTTTGGACAACGAGGACACAAAACCTATGTCAGTGTCTTTGATTTTGGTGGGGAAATGATGTTCTCCAACTTCCAACATATTTTCCTGAATACAAACGCAGTTATACTCCTTTGCTTCAGCTTACATAACTGCTTTCAGAACGACGCCATTTTAGGTAAATATAATATTCAATGACTAAATTTATTTAAATTTAAACTAAAACATAACCCATAGGTTTGGCGAGATAGGTGTGATTACAGAAACTAGTGTCACGAACAAGAACCATAAATAAAAAAAGAAGAGAAAAAATATATGACAGGGAATGATCACGACATCAATTCTATAAAGCGACAATGTTATTAAGCATTCATAGTTGCACATTCATTTTACTTTCATGCTATTATATTTCAGACCGTGTCTACTTCTGGTTGAAGTTCCTGTCTACCTTTTCCGACGCGAACAGTAGATATCAACCACCGGTGATTCTAGTGGGAACCCATCTGGATATGGTGGAGGAGGTACAATTATTGATATTTTAGAAGGATTTATATAAAAGTGCCAAATAATACTTAATAATGTTGAAATATTTTGATTTTTTTTAAAATGATCACCTCTCATAATATAAACATCTTATAACCAACAGGAATTAACGTTACTGAATGGACATATTATTTTAGTAAAAATATATATATTAAATTGGACGTTTTTCAATATTTGAGGGTTTACTAGTTTTCACGAGTTGTATATATATATAATGACCATATGATACGACAAATATTGTAATATTGACATTTATTTGACGAAGTCTTAACTGTCATTAACACCATTAGGTCTCACTTGATCAATTAGTAGAACATTTATATACGTTGTAAATGTGGCAAAAAGAAATGACGATATTTAAACAGTTATACAAAAAGGGTTGTAAAGAAAAGTAAAGTATTGCAATGGGTACAACAGATATATGGTTTGTTGGTTCTAATCTTGATGTCTTTAGAGTCAGAGAACATCGATCAGGCAAGAGGTCAGGAGGAAGATCAAGAGTGATCCCCAGGTGGCTACAGCGTTTGACAGACACGTGGTTGAGTTTGTGATTAAAAACAGTACAGTAAATGTTCGGTCAGCCTATGATGATCTATGGAACCTAGTACACGAGGCGGCTGTGCACCAATCACAATGGGGACAGCTTCTTCCCGCTACCTGGATCACACTAGAACGTGACCTGATGCTTCTGAAAGGTCAAGGAGTAAAGGTCATGACTTTAGATGAAGTCAATGCCAGAGCTAGGAATTTAGTGGTACCGTTGGATGAACGTGATGTTCTTGCAATGCTCGAGTGAGTAGTTTATAAATTTCAATGAGATATTTAGATCTATAAAAATTAAAAAAAAAAAGGAATTCATTATATTTGTTATAATCCTACATACCAATATGAATAATTCTATGACAATAAACCCTCGTTACGCTTATTCATTATACGACATAAGATAAATGTTATATAGTAATATATGCGAAATCATAATTTCAATAATATCACTGTCTTTGTATTTTATATCAGAACTGTTATCAAGCGATTTACGATCTTTAAGTCTTAATGAGCATTAAATAATGTCAACTGTTATATCTTTTCTACTTTTCTAAGGTATCTTCATGTTATACGAAGCATATTAAGTTTCCAATTGGAAAATCCGAATTCCCGGATTATCCTCGACCCTCAGTGGTTGATTCAGGCATTCAGAATGATTGTGACCACTGTGAAATTCCGCCAGCAAGGACTGGACCCTGAACTGATCTCGGAATACGACAGAACAAGACGATTGACCATACCTTTTATCGACGCGGTTTGGACAAAAGGAGATGCAGAGGGGTTCATGGAGTTTAGAGACACCATATTGCTTTACCTCGACCGTCTCGAGCTGATTGTTAAGCCACTTCCGAAAGAGGACGAGACGTGTGTAGACTATTTCATCGTGCCGTGCTTGCTTGATGAACCGAACCCTAATCATATTAGACCATTACTAGAACAGAAGGGAACCATCAAATCACGAACACTTTGTTTCGAGTTTCGTGAACGTTTCATTCCTCCCGCTGTATACAACAAGATTTTGGCTTCTTGCATACACCGCTTTGAGGTGCTTCGACTGTCCGACCAAAACGACAACCTATATCTACAACAAGGACTGGCATGTTTTGCAATAAGTGTTCGATGGAATATGGCTCTACATTGCAAAGACTCTCAGATAAAAGTTACTTTATTTTCTAATGTTGTAAAGAAAGTGGAAGAGGGGGACGGTTACATGGTTCGAGTCATTTTAGAAACAATTATTCAGGCAACAATGAAACGATCCCACCAAGGTCACCTAAGATTTGACTATTATGTCAGCGATGACTTCCAGGTGAAGAATGATGAGAGTATGGTAAAAGTATTGACGACTACACAGGTAAAATCAATGTCTAGACGGTCAACGGATACGGCTGTCTGGTTCACTGTACGAAAGCAGGTAAGGCTTACAACAAGACATGCTTAAATCCGTATGTTATAAAGATACCGAGGTTTCACGGTAATAAACGGTTGATTTTGTTGGAAGAATGCGACATATTAGTCGGGAATTGAAAGTTGATAAATCATCTTCATCTACTTAAATGTTTAATTTAAAATTATACGGTAAAACTTAAATTATTTGCTCGGTCATATTTTCGATCTGTTTGCCCGAAAACTAATATTTGCTATATTAAAAACATTCCCACCTTTTGTTGTTTACAGATGGCCAAGTCCTCCCTGTCAGGTAAATGGTATTTCAATTTTTCGATGTTATTCAAAACGCAAGTTAAACAAGCAAATCCAGCATTTTCAACTTCATTGGAAAAAAAAAAATCAAAATATTGTTGAATTGATATAGTTATCTAGGTAATATTGTTATGTTTCAGGACGCGAGTTTACTCATATTTTGGAGCAACAGAGCACAGTTATGCCAGTCTCATAGGCAAATAAATACAAAATTGTCAGAAGCTCGAGGTCGATAACAGAAAATGTAATGGTTATCGGAGTTTTGGTAATATTGTATTAATCTACCTATCAATAAGCACATGAAATCTATATCAGAGATTCCTGATTTTTTGTCAATTTCTGCTTTTAAAATTCTCATAATGGAGTACTGGAGTTCTGCTAATTTTTTTTACTATTTTTTACCAATTAAAAGTTTCACCAATAATACAATGAGCAAAAACTAATATAGAATATACATGTTTTGACTAGGTCATAATAATTAGCTGGTATTGCCAAAACGGTAAGGGATATTAGCTTCAATATTTGAATTTCCAGAAAACCAATACACTGTTGCTGAACCTTTATATTGGTCATTGCAGTCGAACCTTTCTGAAATAAACTATAATGATTACTGTAGTGTAAACTGCGAAATTTTCGCCGCAGGAAATTTTTCGTTTTTTCGTCCTTTGTAATGAATGCAAATTTATCATTAAAGCGAACATTAGTAAACAACATAATACGCATAGCAATCGAATATGAAGGGCGAAAGTAACACTGGGCAAATATGGATTTTACCAGCATAGGATGAAAGTTTGGCTTGGCGGAAGTTTCCATAACCGTATACAGTATTGCATCGTAGCAACATCGTAATATCTAATCACCAATGTGTATTTTTGTTAAAACCAGTTCCGCAGTCTGAACGTACTCTTCTGAAAAGATGCCCAACGCCAAGGGAAGTAATTAGAATTGCAAAGTATGTGGGCAATACGTATACTTTGTTCTTTGGTATCATTGGTATGAACGAGGTCAGAGTTCAACAACTCCGAGAACAGTTTGAGCATGGACAACGACTGGACTTTCTTTCTGTGCTAGCCAGGATCACGTTTGCATGGAAAGACGAATTTGGGAATAAAGCAAACTTTATGCAAGTGAAAAATGCGTTTGAATTCTGCGGACTTGATCTGACTGGACTGTTTGAAGACATCACACAACTTAAAAATGATAGAATATCTCCAGAAGGTATTGCAATATTTTCTATGAAGCATTACAAACTACATTTCTCTTACTAAACTTGTCTGAAAAAATTGCCATAAAAGAGAAGTATAGGGAATACTTTTGTAAGAAATCTTTAGATTATCGCAGTTATTATCTTAATTTATGTTGTCGTTTCGGTATATAAAACGATTAATGTAATTAGTCAAAGATAAACATAATAAGCAGGAATATTGACAGAAGGTAAAGGTAGTCTCATTATCTTCTAACGGGATTATTTTTCTTTTCCAGATCTTGGAATTCCTGCTAGTATTCAGAATTCACGTCCATTAGAGGAAGAAATATCGGACATATCAATGATCATCCTTAAAGCGTATTTTATTGTATTCGTAGAGCTTAACATTACCATAGAAACTATAGAATTGGCAGAAATGGATCGCAGCAAAGCCTTGGATTTGATCAAATATCTACTAGGACAATGGGTGGAAACGTTTAAAGACGAAGCTACAATCCGACAACTCTACCTCGCTTTAAAGGAATGCAAAAGGAACTACACCAAGTTAATAGGTAAATTGATAAAAGCTATTTCAATATAGTTGCGGAACTGAATAATTGGTTGACAGGACGACCTGGCCGCCAATGCGTTTTTCATACGAGTTTTGTTATGTATCAAATACATCAAATTTGTTTTAATAATCTAACATCATGTATTTACTCTTGCAGAATTAAAAAAAAGCTAAGTGCACACACATTAATATATCGGTGGAACTCGTTGTATAAGACTATAAAAACTTGAAATGAAATTTTTGAAAAATTCAAAAGAAGAAATTTAAAATACTCCACTACATATTTTTTCGAAAAGTTGGTTTGAATATCGTGAAGCAAATAATGAAGTTTGTTAATACGATTCGAGATAAATAAAAATAACATTCATGAGTTAACGTGGTCTTAATGTAATCTACTTTTATGAAAGAGTACGGTTGTCATTAAGACCTGAATGTCTACTATGAGAGTTCAGTGTTTTGTGGAGTAATTTGAACGTGACACAAATTCCTGTATATGATGTGACGTCATGAAGGGTGTCACAGGAAACGACTACATTTCCGGAACATCTGGTTTTTCCTCCAGATTTTCATGGAAGTTCATGATGCTCTCCCCTTTTATTTGATCTCTCCTCTTGTTGTCTTTTTGAATTGACTTTGTGTCAAGATGTTGTCTATGTGTTTTAGAGCTGTGGTACCCTTTGTTCTTATTGTAAATGCTGTGACACATTGTTTTAGACGTGTGCATCTTGAAGGGAGTCTCCTCCATTATTTATCTTGCTTGAAATTTTCTGTGGACACGTTGTATCAGCATTGGGCATTACCGAGTGCAGGAACCTCGTCTATCACTCGCCGTCATTTCTAAATGGGAATGTTTAAGGTTCTATTATTTCCGAATAGTCGAATAAATATGGAAACAAAATACATACCGATTTCTCTCCTTTCCGTCTACAATCATAAATGTGCTAATTTTAAACATATTTCAACGTCTTGATGTAATTACAGAGTTGGTGAAACGAAGACAGCTTGTATAGCCGGTCATCACCATGGAAACAACCAGCGTTCGACGTTAGGACGGAATGAGTTTGTTGTTGATGAATGATTTGTTCCTTTACCTATTAAATGGTATTATTAACACCCCTAAAGTCAGTAGTTACATTCCAATATCCATGATTGGTAAAGTCCCAATTATCAGGGTTTCCCTGAATATGCGCCCTATTGTTATCGCTAGGGTTTTCTACTTGACGTTGTGGTATTTTATTCTATTTGACTTTACAGTGATATTGTATCCAATGCTAAACAATAATTATGATTAGTTGTTAGCTGAGAACGTCCTCGTCGTTGTATTTGATACAACTGTAAATCAATAAAACAGAAATTAAAAAAATAATCACTTTGTGATTCCTTTATGTTGATGTTTTACATGTGGAAGAGGTTTACTTTGTTTCTGTGACCCAAGTATTGTGTACGATGGCCGACAAGAGCCTGACACAAATATATGAATTTTCATATCTTTTTGTACCATGGTACACTTTTATATGGTACACAAAGATATTAAAATTCAAATATTTGTGTACCATGTAAAAGTGTACCATGGTACACAAAGATATGAAAGCAGAAATAAAATCTGTATCTTTCTGTACCAAAATAACGGCCGAAAACAGCCATGGTACAGAAACATGTGAAACCATCAGACGTAAAGTTTATCAAGTATGACAAATTACAACCTGATAATGCTGTCATCACATAAAATGAAATGTTATCGCACGGAATGTCTGCTATTTTGATTACACCAAATCAGCTACCAAACTATTACTTACTCATTTACATTGAAATCAACTATTCAATATCCTGTATCGAATTTTATAAAAGTTTTATGTAAAAAAGGAAGTCATTCTGGAATATTTTTCTAACAATTTCATTTCTAATGTTTTCTATCTGCTTCAACTTCTCAATTGAAAGAAACTCCAAATCAGTTGAAAACGCCGACGGGGTCCGTAGGGGACAAGGGGACAAAAGAGGAAATCTTACTTACTTTGAAGGATAAATAGTCTACCTTTTTATAAAAAAAAATGGGGAAATACGATGAGCTAGTTGTACGTTTCTTTTATAATCTTGACATCTATCAAAACAAGGGAAATGACAAAAATATGCAGATGTCCTTCATCCCTTTTGGAAACCCTGTCAAGGCCCCAATACTTACACAGTTGCAACTAACTCTGTTTTTCATCAGATGTGATTAATGAACTTCAAGACTTGTTTCGACGTTGTAATGAGGGCTTCACTATTCGGGGTCAGATCTGGTCATAGTGTCCGATGACAACATTCCGATCCTCTAGTGGTACACTTTTTTCATATTTATTTTTACCGTAGGTGGTATAAAAAGAAACGAATAAAGTGTAACGCGGTACTAAAAGGAGAGAAGCTTTCATATCTTTTTGTACCGGGCAAAAGTGTGCCACGGTACAGAAAGATATGAAAATTCAAATCATTTTGCCGGCTGATATCGGCTGTTGGTACTTAAACATGCGAAAGTAAAGAGTTTTTTTTGTAAAGTTGTTTATAATCTTTATGTACCATGGTACACTTTTACATGGTACACAAAGATTTGAATTTTCATATCTTTGTGTACCATATAAAAGTGTAACATGGTACAAAAGATATGAAAATTCACATCTTTTTGTCAGGCTCTTGTCGGCCATCGTAATACCAGCATAAAACATACATGTAGTGTGCATACATGTCAAACCAAACTTGGCTTTTGTTCTGTGTCACGTTTTAGTTTAGGTTTCATATTTAAATTTTATTTTTTACGCTTATCCAAAATGTTGATGAGACGTTCTATAGAATGGATATCGTCATGTCTGTTTACACACTTTGGTTTCCACATGATAACTTTAATCTAAACAGTATTTGATTCAATAATCAAGCTAGGTAATTATATACCTGTAATTTCAGAGGGATTGGAAAATATGCTTAGAACCTTTGCAAATTCCTCTCCCAAACATATTTACAGGCAATTAAAATCTTTGAAACTGGGACACCTTCACTGCAATATTATGTTATGAATAAAGATGCTTCACTCTTATTATTAGTAATATATATCCAGGTACACATACCTGCACTCACTCAAGCGTGGTTGCATACGCACATGCTCGCATCCACACATATACATGTGCATAGTTCTAACTTTGATGTATTAACAATATGAACACGTTTAATCTTCACATGTGTACATTCAGTACTAATTACCACAAATAATATTTAGAATAAGACATTCAGTTATAAGCACTTTAAAGTTTCGCATGTATACATGCATTACCTACTACACATATTGTATTTACTGCAATGTACTACATTGTATCCATCCAATACAGTTACAACATTGTATAGGATAGGAATTACATGTATAATAGTTTCAATTGTACATATGTTTAGTTACTATAGTTTCAGTATTTGTTACAAAATAATGTATTTAGAATAGAAAACAAACAATGATAAGCCCTATCAAGTTCCAAAAGAATGGAACTTCAGTATTAGCAACATGTACAGTTTAAGTACTGTGCACATTATCGATATTTTGTACTATAGATATTGCCACCAAAAATATTTCAAACTTGTTTGCATTTTACTTACTGTCAGTTATAACATATGAAAACCATTGTATGTAATCAAAATATATGTAATGTACACAAATCAATTAAGTATCAACTAAACCGTTTCCTGAATCTAATACAATTTTGAACTGCCAAGATTATTTCGTTGCTCATCTGAATTAAGTATTGTTACTTCCACACAGAAGAGTTCAGATAGGTTAATGTTTAGGTTATGTATAATATTTTGCCTTAATCTAATGACATTTTTACATATTGGCAAGATATAGCAACTACTTTTGTCCTTTAATGGGCATGCTATTTCAAATTGCTACATTTTAGTCTCGATCTCCTATTCTTAAATGTCGTTTGATTTAATTGAAACTTGTAAGCATGTACACTATTCAAAGACTGGGTTCGAAGTTGAGCAAAATCCGCGCATAATTAATGAGCATAGTACGCACTGAATGGTCTTCGTCCACATTTTAGTTTCCACAAGATAACATGCCTAAATATTGTTCAATTTTTGATGAAACTTGATAAGCATGTATAATATACAAAGACTGATAATCACATATAATCTTGTCCAAAGACTAAAGGACGAAATCTGCTTGAGGAAAACGTTGCTTTCATCTGATAAAAAACGACGAGAAAGATGTATGCAGAAAGTTAATTCTTAGATGTCCGAGTTGCAACATTGAACTCAAGTTATTTAATAAAGAAATTGAAATCAACTAGCAGACAAAATGACAAGAAACCGGTTTTAATTGGGGTATCACAAATTTAATGCTTGGAAATGCAGTGCAATTTGGTTGGGGTTCACAATGTTGACAACGAACACATTTACATAGAGATTTCCATAATCTGATATACGAGAATGATAACTATAATTTCTATTTAAACAGGTATGTTAATACTGTTTGGTGAACATATTGGTGCAAATGTACGACATCCTCTTAAGTGACATTTTCTGTAACTTCAAAATAAAACAAAACTTTCACATATTGAAGAATAAACAAACAAAGTTATGTGTAATTATATTTTCACAAAATTTGTTTCTCGATAAATAATGATCTATGGTTAAGACATTATATTCTGTCTCGGATCTCGACTGTGAAGCTCCAGTCAGTTTATGAAAGACCATAATTAAAAAGCACCTTCGAATGTATCACTTTGTTTTCAAACAATACCAGGCTACCGTCGCTCTTATAGGAGAGTTACAGTTCATCTGTACGTTATGAATAGTTAAGTTATATATTGATACATGTTTATATGAAGAACCTTACATCAAGTATGACAAAACACAAAAGTACAACAAAAGTAAACTAAGGTGTGTTCACCAAAAAAGGAATTGTAAAATCAATTGTTTCTTGATATCGATAACAGTGTGAAAACTTTACTCTAGACATATAAAGTGACGCCATCACAAAGCTTGGTTGCCGGTGTGTTCAGATGATCATGTCTTTAGCATGCGTAGTCATCAATATGGAAGTCTGTACGAGTTCCGCATCATTAAGTCGAAATAGGCATCGCTGTCAATCGAAGCGCTTACTCCGGCATAGTAAGAGGTGAATTCACGCTTGGTTACCTGCAAAAATAAAACATGATCTTATTTCCATCTCAAATCTTATATTTTCTTCACAAATTCCAAGAATTCCTCAAGATTAAAGGGTGCATATCAAGTTGCTCTATTTAATGAACTTGTAGGAAAATTAACAATGATTAAACATTTTGGTAACAATTTACCAGAAATCAGTTAGCTATATATAAGGCGGACAAAATTTGATCGTTGGTATAGACAGCTTACATTAAAAAAAGATCAACCAAAATTCAGATTGCTTTATATCTAAATTTTGATACAACTTCAATTGGAATTGACCTTTGCGCACCAAAAAAACCCAGAAAAATTAACAAGAGATTTCGGAGGTATCTTGGTGCCACCATCGTACCATCTTCATATGACCTATTTCGGATTGATCTTTTCTTTACTTTTATCTGTTGGATTGAGCCATGCAAACAGTATCTATGTACCTTGTGGCCCCTTTTTATCAAAGCTTCATATTGCTGTGTATGACATTGTTCTGTCAAGGTGAGGTTGTCATTGGACCTATTTACTAGCACAGTAATTAATGTCTAACAATGAGACATGTACAATTTACGACTTATGAAAATCAACCTATAAAATGTTATGAAGATATCCAGTACTTCTTGAGAAATAGGGAAAACAAACTTGAACTGTCCAAATTCAAGACGGCTGTCCGATAGCCTTCCTGTTTTCCAACCAGCCTCAAAATTCGATTTGCGTAATAAGGTACCGTGAGGAACGTGCGTGTGTAATTTGAGAAAGATCCCTCGAGTACTTTCTGATAAGAAGCGTTAACAAGAATTGTTTCAGCCAAATCGAATGACGGACTACGGACCTCCAAGGAAGGTTAATTTGAATAGCATATCAAATGGTAGGCTTATAATGCATATGGTGTTCTAAATGGGAAAGATCATCAAATGTGTGCCTCCACCAATTACCACGTTTTTGACTTCGGAAAGAAAAACGATTTCATTTATCGAAGTACATGAAATTACATAGTAACAACGTTTTGGGGAGAAACTTACTATAAGTAATACTGTACAATCACAAATTTTCGTGTGACATTACATTTTGTTTATTTCGTGGATACCAAAAATCCACGAAATTAAATCCCTACGAAAACATAAATTTGGTATGATATAGATAGGAAAAAATCAAAAATCAGTGAAATATAATGTCCTTGAAACAGGCTAGTATATGAAAACCACGAAATTTTAACCCCACGAAAATAATAC